ATTCCTTGTGTATATACAAAATACATTTAAAGCCGTGCAGATGCTATACAACACGTGGATCTACAAGACAGAATATTGAAGACAACGATGATGATGAGGATGATGAGATTTAGAGCTATATGAATGAATTTTTTGAATGAAAAGACGGAAATTGAAGAAAATGTATGTTTTTCACTGAAGCACCTAATCGAAAAAAGATTTAAACTTCATGCTATTTTCGGTCTAAAATCAATGAGGCTTATTTTCGGCTTTCATCCGTTTTCATCCCAGTTTGTGAAAGACTTTTTAATTCTCAAAATGCTACACACAAAAAGAAAGGTTCTCATCCTAAACTTAGAAACACCTACATTCAAGCACGTCTTCTTGTAATATAAATATTTGGAACTGATACAACTGATGAACTAAAAGGTGCACATGGACCCACTTGTTAAAAGTTTGACTAAAATTTATCAAAATAAAACAAAGTTCAAGAATAAATTTTAGACCAGTGCTCATGCTACCTGCTCGAATCAAAAGATCTACATTTCATTTATTTCATTATACAAAATGTTTCGAATGAATTAGTTTTCACCGAAGCGCGTTAATCTAAAATTACGATCTGGGTTTCTCATCCAATTTTCACTATTGCTTTTAGTATTCTATCGATTTCGTCCTACAGAAGCTTTACTCTTCTTATTTTTCCGTGATATGTATACATGCTGTACAAATGAAAAGGTATAAAAAAGCTTTACGCCTTTTGCACGTCTTTCAATGCTTGTTCGGGTAATCGAGTAACAATTGTTCACAACGGCAAGCAGCAAAAAAAAAGGAAGAAAAATCTTTTCCACTTAAAACCATAACAAAGTGCAAAAATCAATTTTTATGAGAAACTTTTTTGCTTTTTCTCGAAATACACGAAATTTTTCCTTCATGCTGCTTAGTGGGATGTTGCCAAAATAGAAAGTGGTAAAGTAAGAATCTTGATAATCACAGCAACAACATGGAAAATAATGTATATCAATTGATTTATGCATCTCACCACCTTTTTCTGATGTTCGTTTCACCTTTTTTTCATCTCCTTATTTTTTTACTTACATCTCGTTCAATTCGGTTCCTTTCTATTTCTTTTTTTTTCGTTTGGTTAAGAGATTGAAATTCCTTGATTATTTGTAAAAAAACTCTTAAACTTATTCATGCATTTGGTGGCAATTCTTAAATAACAGGAGAGAACAAAAGTTTTCCATACAATGTGGCACTAGCACGTTTTAATACTTTCTCATTTTTCTTTATTATTTTTATAAATTCAAAAATGTGCAGCAAATTTCGTTTATTAAAAGTTTATTAAATTGCAATCTACAAAAGATGCTGTTTGAACAGTCGAACTTTTAACGTTTGTGATGTGAATTTAATCACAAAATTTTGGAATTTTTTTTTTTAATTCGGTTTTTTAAAAATTAATCCCAACATTAAAAACAACAAGAAGCTAAGGATGCAAAAAATTTTGTAGGCTAATTGTTTGTTTGCAAAAGCAAAAGGTCAGCAACAGAGTTGAATATAAAATATTCAAAATTAATTGATACCATTAAAATATTTACACATTGTTCCCAACTCTGACTCTAATTTGTCCATTTAACCAAAAAAACGCAACAAATTTAAATTCCACTTGACGTATATAGCTACACGATCTTAAAATATTTAATTATTGTAATTTATCTAAAATCATATTAAATGAGAAGTAAACCTTACCTTTTTTCGGCTATATAAACAATAATCTTTTATTAATTGGTCCACTCAAAAAAATTAATAACACCTTAAAGCTAATCGCCATTCTTCATAGAATATTAAAAAGAAAGCTTCCAAATTAAAAATTTTCACAGTGAAGCTCATTTTCATCATCTTCATGTTTTATGTCGATAAATTTTGATGCCTTAGACAAAAGGTCAGCAATTACAGTATTAAACTTTTCAGCGGAGGAGGTTGACAATGGTTAGAGAAATGCGATAAATAATGATAACACCACGCACTGACTTGTTCATTATTTATGAATTTTGTTTTCTGAAAAAGTCTCGGAATGCTGAAATAAATAAAATTTTCGGCAATAGGAAGCCTTAAAAACTGTTTTTTTTGAAAAAAAAAATTTTACAGGTCTAGAAAAATCAGTTAAAATACTCAAACCAACATTGGAAGATTAATTTTGCAATAGAATGACCATGAAAAATTTTAGCCAATGAATCCATTTTTATTAACTTGTTAGCCACGAAGAATCTTAGGTCTTTACTGTTAATCAAATAAAAACATGAAAAATCCTCAGAAGCGCTTGTAAAGTAAAAAATTTTATGACAGTTTTGATAGCGGTAAGAATGTTTAAGAAGAGTCAGAAAAGATGAAACTCTAAGCAACACAAAGACCTGAGGTTATCGACTTTCTTAGTATTAAAACTCATCATTGAAAAATTTATTCTTTTCAGAACTTTTGGATTTGCGTTACTGAACCAAATTGAAAAAAAAAATCATGATCTTCCATTTTCTAGAAAGGTTAATCTAAATTTACCTACTAGAAGTAAAATAAAAATTGTTAAATTTTTGAAGCCTGAATTTAGTTTAAATTTGTGTTCTTGCAAACTTTATGAAGGAATTAAGCAAAAATGCTTACGACAACTAATAATTGAACTCATAACGTTTTTCTTTTCTTCCGTCTACATTCTTTCAAATTTCCTTTTTCTATAACAACTTAAGGTTACTCATTTTCTACACATACCACTCCTCATGCCTTGAGACAAAAAAATTTCGGTTGCAATGGTTAAGTATACAAAACATAAAAAGGAAATGTGATGTCGTCCGTTAAAAAAAGTCTCCGCTAAGCCAACAAATACCTTTGAGATGGGTTGCGACAAAAACTGTTTTCAGGGAATACTTCAGCAAATAATCCCCTCCGGTCGCTGTCATTTTCCAAATAGAGCCTGAGAATTGCGTGCGATGGTTGAAAAAAGTGAGAAAAGAAGAAAGAAAAGTTTTACTTTGTTTGGTTTCAACATTTGGTCATGTTGGTGGCTAGAAAGTTGAATGGAATCGCATGTAGCAACAGAGTATCCTTAAAATTTTCTTAATTTTTTTCCAATTTCATGGAAGCAGCCATCACAATATTTTCAATATATCAATTTACAATTTAGTAGTATTTTTTTTTTTAAAAAAAGAACAAGATTGGTCAGCAATCCAAGATAATGTTTTGCGGATTCTATTAAAGTCCATCCGACCCAAAAATACTTACATAAATTACCCATAAATGATTACACAATCATTTTCTATCTCACTTCACAAATTTTGTGTTGCATTCGTCCGTAAAAATGATTTAAGAAAAAGAGCATAAAACAAAGAATTACTATTGAAGGGTGAATTTATTATTATAAACATATCTCTAGCCCATAACAATAATAATATTTTTCAAGTATTTGCTATTTTCGGCAAACAAAAACAACAAATAATAAAGTTCTCGAATTTATCATCAAAACAACGAAAATTGTTATTGTTATGGCTGGAAAATATGAACAAAAATATTTCCATGGACTCGTATAGCAATTAAAATATTTTTGGCAAGAAGCATTTACATGATACAATGTGGATGAGTGACCTACATACTTTTAATTGCAAAAATATCGTCATTAAATAACAAATATAAATACGGGAGAAAACCAAAAAAGTCGCATTTCGGTGCAGCATCAAAAAAATCAATTAAAATCGAAAAAAACTTGCTTACTCTCCCGTTTCTATGGTAGAAAATCCTTTAAAATTTCAACAGAGAAAGCTCTCTCATTAGCACTAATTATACAGTAATTAGTGTACATACAAAAACTCAAACATCATAAATCCGATCACGAATGAAAATTTCCCATCTCCAATCTACAACTATCTCGATCTTGGATGGAATTACAAAATGATTTTCCACCCACAACTTTTTTTCTGTATCATGTATACAATTGCTATAATGGCAACAAGATATTGTTGGACATTGCTTATGTTATGGCTTATGTATAGCATAATTTTGTAAGGAATGGATGGAGGAGCAATTAATTTATGACTTAAATACAGAAAGTTATTAAATGTAAATGCCTCGAAGTTTTCATTGTTTAGAGTTGTATGACTTATATACAGAAACATTATTGAACATAAGTTTATGTTTCGGATAAGAACAAGAAGGGATGAAATATTAATGAATAAAGGAATAAAATTTAAAGCTAGATAAAGAAGAAGAAGTTCTCATGTGAATTGTTCTTACAAAGCTTAAAAATTATTGAGCACAAGGAAATTAATTTATGCTAATTCTATGAAAATCAATTATGAAGAAAATATATCCATAAATATTTATGGAATGATGAATTGTTTAGATTGTTTGTTGAGGATGAAAATACGATTCAAATGAGCATAAAATATGTGGAAAGTTTGAATGAAATCATATTAGAATCTAATTTATTGCAACAAATTGATAATCAATTTGTTTCCATGAATGTGCATTGTTATACAAGTATCATTTTCTAAGCCTGCATCAAATTTCCCGAATTTTTCTTTCGTCCTTCTCAATGGCAATCTGAAGTATTTTACTTAAGCTTTGGATTTCACTAATTGCCATAAAATGAACACAAATCACTAAGACTTAATATTTAAGTAAAGCAAAAAAAATCAATTAAAAATAAGAAGGCTTGCACTGGCATTTGTAGCCACGTACTGTATGTTTCATTAAAAAGCAATTTCGAAATTCACGAAACATGAGAAAGAGACAAAACGTGAAAGGGAGAAAAAATCACGAAAATGCCACACGAAATTCATGAATGTCATTTTGTGTGAACTTTGTGTAGCATGCGAAATGTACGAACATACACTTGATTTATTGATGCTCTTCAACTCTTTTCCCGGTTGATGCATGCCAACATCATCATGTGATGATTATACACTTTTCATTCTTTATTATGATACACATAAAATCCTTTTTATTGAATTTTTTCGTATTTTTCATTCTTATCCTTTCAGCACCAAAAGAGCAGTTACGACTAAACACCAACTTTGTTGGCAGCACATTAGGATAAACTCAATTTGAAACACACAACAGAATGTCGACAGAAGAGATAGAGAACGGTGGTTTTATAGATCGAGTTGTTAACTTTTTTGTAGTAAATGAAGGTCAGTACTCAACAGATAAGCGAAACGAAAATTTGTCATAGTTTCTGAAAGATTTTTTCTAAGCAACAATATTGAATTACAAGAAAAATCTCAATTTACAGATCCACGTACAAAGACATGGTTTCTCGGGAACACACCTGGACCACTTGTATCGATTTTGGTAACCTATCTTTATTTCTGCCTATATGCTGGTCCACGATATATGAAAAATCGGAAACCATTTCAATTGACGAAAACATTGATCGTTTACAATGCTGCACAAGTTGTTTTTAGTATCGTTTTAGTCATTGAAGTAAGTATCATATAGAAGTCATTTTATCGAAAAATGTGTGTATGTTTGTGCTTGTATGTTGTTATTTTCCAGAGGATGAAAAAAGGAAATCGAGTAGAATGGTCATTGATAACATACTGTGAACATGCTTCACAATATTGGATATAGAGATATTCTTTTTGTGCCATTAGGAACTAATAGAATCATTTAGGGTTGCTCACTTTCTAAAGTAGTCATGAACAGAAATAAAAATGTTTTTTGCTTTTATTGCATCCTCCACCTTGCACTCTTGTATGTTATGAAGTTTATTGAACGATTTTACGGTTGATTTTCCGATATATTTTCCTCAATTTATGATTTTTTTGATTCTATCCGTTAGAAAAGGGGGAACGATATAAATTTTTTTGGTACCATCATGGATATTGGAGCAGATTTTAATTTTTCTTAGACTGCACTCACTCCATTAATCAATTGAATGAATCCTTTTAAAAAGAACCAAGAGTTGAACTAGATACCAGATACCAATCAAAGCTTTCCTATGTTTAACATCCCCTGAATTTTCCTACCAGGTCACAACTGTGTGAAAATATCCCTTTAAAGTTTTCGGTTTATTTTTATTTTTTGAACATGCCGAAAAGTGTTATGCAATTGAAATAAAATAGCACAGAAAACATTCTGTTTTTATTTTAAAAGGAACAAAATTTCATTTGCCATTTTTTTCTGTGATACCACACACCGTATGTGTTTCATGGCACTTGAAATTAAATTTATCTCTAATTTAATGTTTGCAATGTGTGAAAATACATTTGTATGAATCTAAATATGAAGTTCCCGAAGGTGTCTACAGGGTCAAATGTCACATTTAAATTTATTTAAATTGTGTGTATATTTGATACGTAAAATTGCATTGGAACAACCCCAATATTCGCACACAATTTAACGATTAAATCTTTGAATAAAAATTTATTCAATGAATTTTTCTCTCTTGTCTTTTAGTGCTTGACCAAAAAAGAGTTGTTTCCTATAATTTGACTCGTTTTCCTTCTACTAAACTATATTCTACAATTTTTTGCACATGTTCCCTATGAATTTCATTTTATTTCTCGTTTTTTTTGTTTTTGCAGGGGTTAGAAGGCGGTTGGAGGAAACATTATAATTTTCGATGTCAACCTGTTGACTACTCAACAAATCCAAGTGCAATAAGGGTAATTTATATTCACAAAATGTTGATTTTCTGCCACTTTGTTGCCAACATTTTGATGTTATTTATTTGCTGTATATAAATATACTGTACACCATACATAGATATATTATGTGGCAGGAAGGCGTCATTACAAATTTATTTCATTTGTCGTGTGTGAATTCACACAAATTCATACAATTTTATTCATTTTCCTTATTTTCTCCCTTCATGTCCTCATTACAATTCAGATGGCTCGTGCTGTATGGTTATATTACATGGCAAAAATTGTTGAACTTTTGGACACTGTATTTTTTGTTTTACGCAAAAAACAATCACAAGTTAGTTTTCTTCATGTCTATCATCACACATTAATGCCATTTTGTGCGTTCATCGGAGTCAAATATTTTGCAGGTAAATTAATCCTGTTTAATTTTATTACATACTAGACACCTGTCAATCTAACATGGTCAATAAGGAAGAATGAAATTGTAAAATTTAAATTTTAAATGAATATTTTATTTCCTTGTTGTTAATTTATTTTAAAAAAATGATGTTATTGAACTGTGCGTAATCCTAAATATATTCATATGATCCGTTTCTGATATTTTTTGAAAAAATCACGTCTGTTCTATCAAATCAAGTTTATAATTTGCAAATTTAATTTATAGATTATAATTGAATAAATGTCGGGTAGCTGTTTAGCGAAGACTTTAAGCAATTAGTTTCAGATTTTATCGGTTGTCAAAATGAACAAGAAATCTCCAATTATCATATACACTCAAAAGAAACAAGGTGCCAACAGGTTCTATAAAAAAATTTATAGTTTTCGATTAGCAAGTGATGATTCTTCTGTTTCCATATGCACTTAAATAAAGTTTAAATTTCAATAAATTCTTTTGTCGCTTGATAGAAAAAAATTGGAAATGATAAATCTTAATGCTCTTTTATTTATTAAATTCCGATAAAAATCTCAATAAAACTTCAAAATAATCGGAAATAAATAATCATGTCTATCGTTAATTGTGATGAATTTCCACGAGACTCAAAAGATAAAAAGTTTAAGATGGTCAATATGCATACACGTTTAGATGACAATATCTCTCGTATCTTCTATTTAAACTTAAAAAAATTAGAACTGACAAGTCATAAATCATGTAAGATCACTCAATTCTTAAATCTTCCATATGCCTTTGTTTATTGCTAAATAAAGAATTTTTTCTTTAAATTAGCACATTTGCGAAAATTAAAGAGCCAAGAGTCATTCAAAAGCCAGTTTAAAATTTGGAAACAAAAGCTCAGTTGATCATCATAAGATCGACGTTAAGTCAAAAGGAGAATGTTTTCAGTGATTTAATAAACAAAGGAAACTTTATCACAGCTATTGGAAATTTGAGAAAGAATCCATGAAAATGTTCTCACTTCAAAGTTTTGAAAAACTTTCTTATTCTCACCATCGAGGCTAAATAATTATTGCAGCCCCTTAAAATTATACAATACGTTTTTCCGATAATAAATCCCTTCCCTCCATTTAGGTGTATGTACTCAAATTTTACACTTTAGCGCTTCAATTCAATTTTCTTCTTTTAAACAATGTTTAATTTGAAAGAAACACCACTTTTAAAATAGCAAAAATAGATTATGGTTGGAAAATTTCAGGGTATTCTGTATTGGAATGCATTTGTGTGAGAAATTTAATAAATGCTAGAATATGGTGTCTTTTTCATCATTATAGTGATTGATTATAAAATAGGGCTTAATACTAAGGCCTATGTGACCTTGAAATTTTAGTTTTTATCATATTTTTCCAGTCATGCATCTCAATTTAAATCATGTTTACTATCAGATGCCCAAAGTGAACTTAACGAAATTGAATTTGTTCCAAAAAAGTATGATAAAATATTCTTCAAACAACTTTTCTTCTCTTTTTTTTTCTTTACTTTCATTCTTCTTTCTTTCATTCTAAGACAACGCGGAATATACAAATGAAATTTAAATATTTGAATTTGAAAACAATTTTCAAGCCAATTGAGTTTTCCTTCCTTGAGTTGAGTTCAGTTTTTGGAAAGAGATGAGTGTGAAGTACGAGAAAAGTGAGCCAAGGAAAAGAAATAAAGAAGGAAGATATAAAAAAAAGTTTTTCTTCTCAAGGATGAAGAAGAAGAGATGATAAAATCAACAATATGGGTGGGAAAAATTTTTTCTGCTTATTAAATTTACTGTGTTGAATTGACATACGTTGGTAGAATGAAAGAGTAAGAAAATTTATTCCACCTTCGGAGCAATTTTTATTTGTTAACCTAAAGAATGATCTATTTCAATGTTATACACATATTCTCTACCATTGACAGTTTGTATGTATAAATTTTTTTGTATTATCCAACAGTAAATTCGTAACATCGAAATAAAATATTGATGGGGGGTAAAAAATAAAAAAATTCCAATTTCATAGAATTGAATTGAAAATAAGTTTTGGCGGGTTTAAATTTCGTTATATCCCATAAATATGCCTCAGACACAGCAAATTGGCATACATATGTCATCCACAGTAAATGCGAATGCATTAGAATTTTAAATTTTTTTTTTTCATCATCATCATTTCATCCTATTCGTTTCTGAGCAGTAAATTCTGCACAGTATGATAAACGTGAGCACTATACGTTCAAATAAATGGTGGAGGCATAAAATGATGTTCATGTACATTTATCAATGTGGAAAAAAAGTTATAAACTCATAACTGAATAATTTTTTTAAAGCACCGACCAAAAATTTACTGCTTTTTGTTCATGAACAAATGTACATTTCTATGGAAATGAGGATATAAATCCCTTTGAAGTTTTTGATTTTTTTTTGTTTGAAATCAAAATTTATTTGCGTCAAAGTTGAAACTAAAATTCGTTTTTAAACTGATTTGCATCGAAAGTTTTGTTTATCTCTCCGAATTAAGCCTTCCAATTACAACATAATTCCAAAAGCTCATTAGAATATAAATTAAATGATAAATGAAAAGGTTAATCTGATATCAATTTCATTTATATAAATTAATTCATTAAATGCCTATCGGGAATTATTACGATTGATATTGAATTAAATTATTTAAAGTGAATTTTCAAAGGAACAGAAAAATGTAATTTTTCAGCTACATAGTCCCAGCCGCAACTTATTTAGTTCAGCAGCAGTATTACAACTGGATTTAGAGGAGAGAAAAAAATCAGGAATAAATTTCCAGCAATCCAATCAACCATTTGTGTATCCATCATTCCTTTTATCCTCTTCAGAATGAGATAAAAATCTTTAATTTATGCTACATTCTCTGCTGTGTCACACAATTTTTTCCATTCTATTCCTCTTGTGCGAAAGCATCATGCAGCATTATTGTTCGCTCTCATTGCGTGCGTTTGTAGATATATGAATTAAGGCACAAAAGCTTTTCAATTCTTGTTAACATCCACCAAACACACATAGATGTTACCTTTACTTCATTTTTAGTGCCTAACATGTTTTTTCATCAATTCGTTCTGTTATGTATTCACATTTGCGTGTGTATGCTGCCAGTAAGAAGGAACAAGATAGATAAACATGCGAAGGTTACATACAGTATAAAAATTGCACACTGAATGATACACACATTTGCGTTATCTACAAAAGCCCCATATACTCTTAACATGAGCTTCCATAAGAGTTTGTGACTATGAAGCATCAAAAGGCAAAGAAAGCAGGTTAGAGTGGATTAAGCGTCTTTTTTTACCAAACAATTGTAAACTTTTGAGCATCTATGTAGTCATTTTAGCAATTAGTCAGCAAGACAAACTAAATATATCATAATAATCACTCAGCAAAAATATTCTGGAAAATATTGTTAACATCACTGGATGTTTGCTTCAATTTAAGATAGATCAGTTGATTTATTCCTTGAAAAGTTCTTTTTTACTGCTCTAGCATGCGAGAAAATCATCTCGAGTAATTTTACAAAGTACTATTGACATTAATATGAAAAGAAAATAAAAACTAATGTAGGTAGATAAGGCTAGAGATGGTCGGAATAGACGGAGAGTGAGAGAATTGAAAATAGTGAAAAATAACATTTTTGTGGTGGAACAACATCCATGTTTATTCATTTAATGTCCCTCCACGGTATACATTCATTCACTCATTCATTCATATTCCTTCCAGTGCTGTTTTTGTTTTAGCCAGTTGAAAATTTTTCAACTCTTCTCATTTCTCTTTTTTTTGCAATGGTCAGGAAAAGTACACACGGTGGAATTAAAAAAAAATTGCTCTGTGGCTGTATGTTGGTTGCGTTAATGGAAAAGTTTCTTTCTTTTTTAATTGAAAAAAATTTCTACTTTTATGAGAAAAATTTGAAAAACATAAAGGTTTATGAAGGGTTTAAAGTTCCCATTTTTATCGATTTTTCATTGTGTATGATGAATATGATTATTGTTATGATGATGATACAAGTACTTATGAGGTGGCTTTTATCACCACACAAAACAAAAACAAATTCTATAATTTTTTTTGAGTGGTTTCAAACTCAACAAATTACTCCCTTACACGTTTTTTATACTTATTATTATTTTACTTTTCTGACGGCTGTTGAGGAGGGTCTCATAATATGAGAAAAAAAAACTGTTGAAGTCATGTTTTAAATTTTTATTGCATTTTATTTATTTTTCCAACTCATATTTAATATTTGCATATGACTCGCTGATGAAATCATCCCCATGCTCTAGTTCTGTTTTATTACTCCACTATGTTACATCCCATTCATTCCACAATTTGAAATTATTATTTTATTTCATTTTTTCGGTGCTTTTTTACATGGAAATTGTGTTGGATTGTTTTCGAGCTTTCTGTCCTTTCAACAATATAATAGGTATTATTGTGTGTAGGTTTGTTTTTAGAAAGTCAGCAATTGAGCACAAAACCTGTCGGCGCCAAAAGTTCGCTTGTAAACAAAACAATTACTACCCTATAGGGATTGAGCAAGTTTAATTTAACTTTGAAAAGTTTAAATGCGTTCAATTCAACCTTTGGACACAAAAATTTTCACAATTTTCATATTTTCTACATATGACCATGTCATGATATTTTATATCATATTATTACTATTGTTGCTTTCATTATTCTTGTTCTGTTTCTCATTTTTATTTATATTCAGGTGGACATGGAACTCTCCTAGGTCTCATTAATTCATTTATTCATGTTATTATGTATATGTATTACATGCTGTCTGCAATACCTTCCATGCAAAAATATTTATGGTGGAAGCGATACTTGACCATTATGCAAATTGTGAGTATGAATGTCTTCTGCATGATACATGACAAGCATATTTAATTAATGCAATATCTGCTCTGATATATTCACATTTCTTCTACCATTTTATTTCAGATTCAATTTTTGATCGTCTTCTGTCATACAATTCAAGTTCAGTTCCGGCCAAGTTGTACTTATCCGAAATCAATTGCTGCTTTACTTACACTTAATGCTGCCCTATTCACCTACATGTTTTCATCATTCTATATTAGATCTTACACCAAAAAGAGACGGGATCATGGCGAACAAAAAAAAGTCATTTGTGATGAAAATAGTAATGTAGTGGAACAAGTTGATAAAATGATAAAAAAGGAATAGAGGACTATTGTATTTCAAAGAAAAAGGAAATATAATTAAAATGAAATCGTTTAAAGTCAAAGATGTTGATAATGATAATGGTCGTACTTTCTACTTCTAATCCATTCATATTTTATATTTATTAATTTTAAGGAATTTTTCGAGCAGAAAAATGATAAAATACAATTTTTTTTTAAAAATGGTTGATTTAAATAAATCTTGTATTAATGACAAAAAGGATTGAAAAATAATCAGAAATAAAGATAAATAATTCAATTAAACATTTTTGTATTTATAGTTTGCATTTTAATCTGATTAAAGATTTCATAGCTCATTATTTATTTGGAATCTATTAAGATACTTTAATTAAGTATTTATAATTGATAAAAATATAGAATTAAATATAATCAGGTAGGTGGAATTTCTTCTTTTTAACTTATTAGCACTTATTAGCATTTAATTCAATATCAAAATCGATGACGATAAATTAAAAGTTTGTCTAATTCTTAAATTAAGAGAAATTTTCATAAATGTTAAACAAATAATTTGCGATATTAATAATAATTTACAAAGAAATAGCTAAAAGAGGCTTATATCAATTATTCATTTAGTGCTTGTCACAATAATTCTTCAAAAACTAAACTAGTTCACTTTTAACTAGTATCAAATTTTAAAGGATTCAAAAATAATTGTCAATCATTTGAATTTTTTAACATTTTGTAGACAACGTCTACAGAATTACAATTTGAAATTCTCCTAAAATCATTTGAAACTTCACTTATTCTGAAAAAATTAAACAATAAATCGAAAAAAATCCTGGTTTAATGTTTTGTACGTTTATTTCTGAATTAAAATATTTTATTCAAAATAAAGCGATTAAATTTTGCATAACATGCAGGTATAAAAATTATAAATTTAAAAACAACTGAACTTTATTCGTGTCTGCATTTCTTAAATTCTTTTAAAATCTCTAATGAGTTGTATTTGAATCATTTAATTATTCTGCTTTGAAACCAGCAATTGTTCAAGTTATCTATTTTTGAAATTTAGCATACATTCTCATATGAGCTAATCAAGCAGGTTACTGAAGACAAATTTATGAATTTACCAACACGAATAATGTTTCAAGCCTATAAAAAAAAATTTTTTGAATTTCCTTGAAAAATGCTATCTAAATTATTGTTTAAAAGTATAAAAAATGATGCAATATCTTAGATGATGATTTTTTTTTTTTATAATTTTAAATCTTTTATTCCTTCTTATTCATTTCAATGTCTGACTCCTCTTTTGCATCTTCGTTAACATGGTCGGTAAGACCAGTGTGTTTTGTTTCCGGTTGCTGAAAATTAAACAACATTAAAATTAATTAGATTTTCAAAATGACTTATTGAGAGTGCTTACGAATAATATCAAGAATCCAGCAAGAACGATGAGTGTTCCACATATTGTTGTCGGTATATACCAGGCCCATGGACCGAGTAGATCAACTTTAAATTAAAATGTAAATTATTAAGATAATGTTTATCTTCAATGGTCTGTGCAAACTCTTCTCTACTTACCAATATATGGAGCAAAGAATGAACCAAAATGTGCAGCTGTTGAGCTTATTCCCAACACAGAATTTCTAATTTCTGTCGGAAACATTTCAGCTGTATGTAATGTCATGATTGCATAAACTGATGTTATGCAAAAACGACTCATCATTGCCAATACTAACAGTACAATTTCTTTATCCTTTGAGACGCCTAAAACTGCAAGTAGAAAGGCACCGGCAAGAACAAAAAGTGTGAATTGTGACAGTCTTCTTGTTGAGAATTTCAGTATGAAAATTGACACAATATATCCGAATATATCAACTGTTCCTGTTAATCCCGTCCATACGTAAATATTTGCTTTGAAGTTTTCAGCATTCAATGACAACATGTAATATGTTAATGATGTTACACACCATGTAAAATGGCAAATCAGTGCTTTGTTCCTGAGACTGGAAGGCCCGTAAAGTTTTATAAGCTCTTGAAACCATCCACGAATTTTTTCATTGCATGACTTTGCTTCAACATCTTTTTTCTCACTGGGAGCGTCCACAATTTCAACTCCTTCCTTTTCACATTGTAACTCTAGCAAAAAATCTGGTGCTGGCTTTTTACGATAAAGCATTTTGTAAGCTTTCTTGTACTTTCCTTTACTTATGAGATATCGAGGTGATTCAACTAGCCATCTAAAATATTAAACAAATTGTCATAAGTAATATACTATTAAAAATTCAATATGTGCACTCACATAATATGAATAACTAATAGGAATGATGGTATTGTCAATGCAAGTTGCAAATCACGCCATGCTGGGAATATATATGCAGCTCCTGCGAGGAAAAGAAATCCGACGGGATAACTGAAATTATATGCTATTGACAAACTCGATCTATATTTCTGTCCTGTATTCTCCGTTATGAGAGTGAATAATGAGTAAAAGACACCAGATCCACAAAATCCTACGGGGAAAACATTTGATTAATAAATCGAAATATCAAGCTATATTGTATCAGAATGCGCAATGCATTGGTTTCGGTTTCTAATTAATAAAGAATCAAACAGATTGGAAATAATTCAAAGTGTCATCAAGAGAGTCAAGAACACTGGTCTATTGATAACCTTAATTTTTAAAAGCATAGAAATAAATCATAAATATTAATTTAAATCCGGAATTTTCATTTCCGACATGAATTAATTGAACTGAAATCATTTTTCTTACCTAAACCTATACGTCCTAGCATCAACAGCAAATATGTTGGCGAATAGGTTGTCAAAAGACCTGATAAAATATATAAAACCGCCGCTAAATTGAAGCAAGCTTTTCTTCCGTACCTAGAGCAGATTAAAAAGAAATTAGAATCATTTATGGGACACATCATAAAAATTTAATGACATACTTATCACTTATGATGCCAAATGTTGATGCACCAACAAATTTACCGATAGAGAGAGCGACTTGAACATTTGAGCGATATGCCATCCTCTCGCATACCAAATTCCATTCAGGCACAAAACTAGCATCTTTTTCTTGCTCATAGTGGAATGCATAATCGTCATCCTGTTCCTTCATATCAAAACAAGATGCAGTCTTTGGTTTATCTTTATCATTTAGATAAATTTTTGCTTGTTCAAAGCTTAAATCAGCAAGCTTATCATAGTCCCATTTGTACACATTACAACTTTGGCTAACATTTAATCCTCCTGGAATTGCAATTTCTCTAATTTGTTCATAGCTCCAATTCTTATGATTTAAGGCTGGAACTACACAGAAATATTCTACTGGCATTTTACTCAGGAACACATATGATGACACATGGAATCCATTGATTATGTTAGGTGTTATACAAAGTATAAACATTATCCTGAAAATTAAATTTAAAATTGATGAGATTCAAATTAAAACGTGAGAGCATAAATTGTGCACGTGAATGAATTGAATCATAATTATAATTAGCTAATTCACAATTATTGTAATCAACGCACGTTTTAGAGATAGAAAATAATCTTTTGAAAAGCTCAATGAAAAAAAGCAAAATATTTACATACTTTAAAATCAGGACTGATTACGGAAAAAAAAAAATATAAAAATGTGACAAATGAACTTAACCCGTAGAAAATAAATTTAGAATTGTGTAAGATCTACTTATCAATGCATGACTTGACATCTGTATTTTAAGAAATGAGAGGAGTTATACCTTGAAATTCAAAATTTATAGAGAGAATATTGAGTAATTATAAAACACAAATGAAATTTTATTGAATCTAAACAATATGATCATCAGCCCAGATAATTATAGATGCAGTTGCAGTTTTGTCTACAATCCGTGCATAAATAATTTTTCTCTCAATTTTTTTATATCATTGTCGAACATTTTCACGACCTTCATTAAAATCTAAAGTTTATTGTCCTATGAGCAGACTCGTTTGAAGTAAACCTTTGAAGTCTATATATCACTTGTCTGGATTTTTAAGATTATTAAAAAAGTTTCTAATTTAATCTTTGGAACGTTTAAGTACTAATAATCAGTCCAAAGAAATAACAACTTCTGTTACTTTTACATTACTCAAGTTTCGGACAACTTCCAAAAATAAGATTTTATATCCCCAGATTCATTATCAATCAAGTGGTAGTTCAAGTGGTTTATAGACTGCTGAAATCCATAATTCGCTCTTTAATGACACTTTAATGTTAAGTCATTAAGCAAACAAATACAAAAATTGCATGTTGATATTTTATATCAGATGTAGAGAACCTAACGACCAGATACGCGATAAGCAACTGTTGCCCTCAATATGAAACTTTTATACAGTGAGAGATGTAAGCTTGCAATTCTAATTACTGACATTGCACACGTGATGAAAAATTCCAATATCAATCCTGAGCTATCATATTGAAGATTCTTTACATCCAAATTTTGTAAAGGTTCCAAATTCCAATTGTTCGTGTAGAATTTCATATCAGGCAGTAACATTGAACTTGACTCAAATAATTTTTGCGCGGGTTTTGAATTAATAAAGAAAAAAAATTTTTGATAACGGAGTTGTAGTTATCAAGTGTGACAGTAGAAAAATGCTGGAATTCCGAATAATTTATTTAACACAGCGTGATAAGATCTTTGTGATTATTTGTCAACTCTATTCTCAGACTACAATTTAGCAATTTCTATTTTTTTTTTTGTTTCTTAATATGCAGATTTTTGGTTTGTTCAACTCATCCTTTTAAAGTATAGCTCAATATCATCAAATTTAGTCCTTAGTGCTGTCAACTTCAAGTAATAAAATTATCCAAGATTAACGAGCTCTCGTGCCTTGATGTGTTTATAATGTCTAATATTTACTTTGATTGCAAGTCACAGATAAGAAAGTGCTACAAAATATAGTAATAATCTAGGAAAAAACACACACAGATAATTTTTGATGGATTGCATTATGTAATCACTTACAACTTTTTATCAAATTAATATTATTTTTTGGACTCTGTTGACACAATATCAAAACATATGTTCTCAATATGAATGTTAAAAACCGGCTATGTTTAGCTATGGATCTCATTTCAACACATTATAAAAAGAATAACCTCATTAATAGATCAAAAAATTCAATTTTTCAATGTTTAATTCCATTAACATTAAGCAATAAGTTGTAATCATAAAATGATGATCAGAAAAATTTAAATTTTGTCAACTAATGTGTTTAGGATAATAAAAGATGATTATAAATTTTGATAATTTAACCACTTAGGCTTTCATTCTACAACTAAATCGTTCCATGTTCACAAATTTAAATTTTAAAGATTTGCAAAAAATATAAAACTTAAAGATATAATGATAGCTTATCAACCGTCTCTGTAAACACCAGAAGAGACTTAATAAGTGAGAAAAGAATTTTAATTCAGGTATGAAAAGGTTTGAAAAATATCTTGAAGCAATTTGAAGAAATCATTTTAACAAAATCTTAATAACAGCAACAAATTTCAATAAAGCTCTCGATTGAAACAAAATTTATATAAAAATTCTATCCAACTCCTCTTCCTTCATTGTCCAAATAAGGAATAAAGAAATATTTGAATTTCCCTCAAGAACTTATATGATCAGCATCTAAATGACTTCATTACTTTTTTTTATCTAATTTACGAAAACAAATCTAAAGTCCAAAAAAAAACTAGCCATCAGTAATACATTTTGTGATGAAAAAATATTTCTGCATGCGCAGCTAGTTAAGTATTTGATTTTTAAGTTTAACAAAGCCTGTTAGTGAGAGCGAGTAAAGTTAATTTTATTTATTTTTTTTTTTATTGATCAACCTGTTGATTGAATTTGAAAATATAATATTCGTAGCTCTGATCCTTGTTTTGATGCTAGACAGTAAAGCAGTTCATGATCATACTAGTTTTGTATGATAGTTTAGATAATGTCTCAAATTTGACAGTAAATCTTCACGGTTATTTCATCATCTTTAATACTTTTCTTTGACAAGCTGCATTCTATGATTCATACTTTTTCCCAATTATACTTTTGTTTTCATTATGATCTAATTTATGTAGAACATTTCCTAATTTCCAAATACCCACATCTCATCTGATTTCCAAAGCATATGCTATTTTCACTGTCACATATTCTATAATTAGAAAACTAAATAAAACAAGACATAAAACTTTGCTTGAAAAACACGTGTGTGGTTAATTTAAACAAACAGCTACAAAAGGAACTGCTTCAACACCGATTTAAAGAAAAAAAAAATTTCTTTAAAAAAATGTCATAAATGTGTGTCACTGTCCGATAATTTTACGTCTATACTATTTTTACGTACTTTATCAGTAAAAGAAAAACGAATGTTGATTCAAAGGTCGCCGAAAATAATTAATGAAATCGTCGACTGATAGACTTTACATGCATGGATTTTATTATTTCTATGTTTGTGTGTCATAACTTACCATAACCAAAAATCTTTTCCTTTTCCTTTCTCTTCCAACCCTTCTAAAACCACATCTTTCAAGGTCTTTTTTTCAGGTTCAATTGCGGGTTGTTTCTCCTCTTCTGCCGGGTCTGGCTCTGGTTCTGTGTGATTTTCTTTTTCAGTACTCATGATTTCAAAACGATAATTTACTTAGAAAAGAGACAGTAAACACGAATTTCCTTTCACGACACAAATGAAGCCTTCCTTTTGTTAAACAATCAATTCTGAATGAATGCAGCAATTGACGAACAAAACGTTTTTTTCAGCACTAAATTTTATTAATAATTTTATTCAACTTTTCTGTCATAAATTTCACATTTTTTTTTGAAATTCTTGAATTTTTTTACTTCCTTACAACTTTACCGCATGAGACCAAAAAAATCGATATAAGGCCACGCACTCACTCTCTCCTGTTTACACGCAAAAAAAATAAATTTTTGAATCTCCTTAACTCACTTTTGTCAATTGCGCATGTTCACTCTAACGCATCCGCCGTGAGACTGAGAACTTTTCATTTTTCAAATAGAGAAATTTCATTTTTTGAATGAACGGAGAACCTATGTACAAATACATTTAATCGTACGATAAATTTTTCATGAAGGGAGAGGAATGTGTCAGATGATGATTTGAGAGAGTAAGGAATAAACTAGTATTAAAGATCGATGCGTGGTTTGCGCTCTGAAGATGTAAAAGTATGTCAACACGTTGTACCGGCTTTTTCCATAAGAACTAAGTGGTTAAAGAATATTCTAAAATTGGATTTAATTCAAATAAAGTGTTTGGATTTGAGTTTTAAAAAGGCATGACTGGGAAAATCTTAAAATCTCACATCATGTGTTTTTATTTGTTTCTTCGAGTATCACGAGCGTCTCTCGTGTCAGAACTTTTTTTGTGGAGAAGTTTCAATTTTTTATTTGAATTGTCCCAGATTTAATTTGCACAATTCTTAATTTTTAAAATATAATTTTAAATAAATTTATATGAAAAACTTTAAAAACCCTTACAAAAAAAATCACAAACATTTAAAATGCATTTTTAAGATTCATTCGCCAAGACAATTTTTTCAAACTGCATCGTACGAGAGAAAATTTCGGCTTTTCGTTACGGCGATATTTTTAAATTTATTTCCGACTCTTACTCAATGTGTTGTGAAATATCTCACTAGACTTTTTAAAAAAAGGCATTGAAAAATTGCGTCTTTGTTTAAACAAAGAAAATTTTCAGTGTCAAGTGCAAGTTCGATTTAAATATGGAATTTCTTCCAAAGGAATTATGGCTTGAGATCTTCGAATATATAAATGTAAGCGATCTATTTACGTTGACTGAAACCTGTAAAGATTTTTACTCGATGATCATTAACACGAGATTAGTGGATAAGTTTACGATGTGCTTAACGGTTGATCGAAATGCTCGAGAGTGGAATGATGTGAAAAGGAATTACAGTCAATTAAAAATCAAAGAATTTAACGACCTTTGGGGAAATTGGAAGGAATTTAAAGAAAATCTTTTTGTGTAAATTAGAACTGAAAATTTCTAGTTTGAGGAAAGTTTTGAACGTTTGTCCAAAACTTGAATTTATGGTGATTTCGGAAGTGAATTTAGAAATTGATGAAGATTTGGAATCACTTCAATTACCTACATTTAGAAACTTAAGAATTTATTTTGATGACAGCAGTCCAACATTCTTCGATATCCTCGAAAACTCAAAAGCCATTGAACTTTGCATCGACAACAAATGTAGCGCAAGATATACAAACTTTGACCCTGTAAAAAAATTCATAAAATCACAAGAACATCTCAAATCATTAGCCTTAATGTACTTTAGTATAAACACGAATTTATTTATGGACAACATGCTTGATTTTGTGAAATTCAGGTTGAAAAAATTTTCAATGAATAGCGTCTATTTAGGTATGGAAAATGTTGCTCGGTTCCAAACATTTATGATGAATCACATTGACACGTTAACCACTCTTCATGTCCAGTCACCATTTCTAGACATTTCATTTTTTCGACAGTTTTTAACACTTAAGGAACTCCAAATAAGTCATACAAATCCATTTTTTGACAGCTTTAAAAATATTGAGATTTTGACTGTTGAAAATGTTTCTGGAAATTGGATGGTCAAGTTCCCATACGTAAGAGATTTAACTATGATTTATAAATATGGAGTATTTCTGGGGATGTATTCTGATCTCATCAATCTAGTCCATCTTCAACACTTGACAATAATCGATTCGAAAATTCCAGAACTTAATATCCCGTCAGTTTGCAGTCTTTCCCTTAAAAACGTAACAATTTGTGCAAAGCGACCGTTTCGTTTTGAAGATAATCAAATTAAGGAATTGAATATTGACTCATGCAGTTCGATTGATTGGATTGCTGACTTCCTAGCACTAGAATCAACGAGATTGAAAGTTTTACGTATAAGAAATATGAATCTGAAAGAGTTGATTGTCACTGAAAAAGAAAAGGAGAAGATCCAGACCTTGACGTTTATTAATTCATAATAAGTAAAAAAATCAATAAGCTTATAAAGCATCATCAAAATTACAAACAATATACTCTTCTGAAAAAAAAACTGCAGTGCAAAAGAATCAATAATTTATCGTTTTAAATCATACTTTATCTTCCTCATGTATCATCATATTTAATATATTTCATACATATTTATATAGCAACTTTTAATGAAATTTGAATTTAATAAAGTCGAACAAATGAAATTAGGAATAATCATAAAGTTGGAAAAATACACTTTAAAAAAAGTTAATATATCTATACTCTGTGGAAAGGTTCTATTACATTAGAATCATTGATAATTATGAAACGTTTATCATCTCTCGTAACTTATTTGATTAGAAAAGAAGTTATAATTTTTATTTTTTTTTTTTATTTTTTCTTTACATCATCCACAATCCATTTACTCCCACTATTAATTAAGTTAGCTTAATGACAATGCTCCCAAAGCGAGGAGACGTTCGACTGCCGCATTAATGTCTCCGAAAGTCGAAATCAGTGCTATAAAATAAATAGAAAATAAAATTATCATGTTAATTAACGATTATTGATAAATATTAAAATTTACCTTGCAGATTAGCTTCGCGATTGACGAATCCCATAGCAGCAAGTTGTTCCAATTGTGATTGATATCTTTGTTCTGGTGGTAAATTTTGTTGTGTGCCTTGATTTGTCATTCCGTTCATCATACGTTGCATGAAATCATTGAAAAGTTGTTGATTCCCAAGATTGGGCGCATTTCCAGTTACAGGAGGTTGATTTGTTCCTGGTGGAGGTGGAGGAATTCCCATTGATCCAACAAGACCAGGCGCTACTTGACGCAATTGTTCCATTCCTTGTTGAATTTGCAAGATTGCATTTAATGCTTGAGGATTAGACATCATTCCTTGAACTTCTGGATTTGACATTTGTTGAATCAATTGTGGCATCATTGTTCTCATCTGTTGCTGTAATGCTGGATTAGATTGTAGTAATGGACTCTGACTAATGAGATTTGCAGCCATGTTTGGATCCTGTTGTAAAGCTTCCATCATTGATCGCATGTACGGTGCATTCATCATACCTTCCATAACTTCTGGATTATCGCTCATTTGCTGTAATAAGCTTTGCATTGCTGGAGTGTTTAAGACATTGTTTGGTGGTGGTGGATTGCTATTATTTGGTCCAGGGCCGCCCCATGGATTCGGTAATGGTTCACGATTTTCATTACCTTGTTGTGGATTTTCAGCACTTCCTGTATCGACTAAACCACTAAATGGATTTGATCCAAATGCACCAGTTGCATTTAACATTGGCTCTTGAATGTCTCGATAAATGCGATGTAATGCGTTATAGCCACCTGGAACTGACTCTAAATTGGACATTGCTCGATCATGAGAACGCATCAATTCTTGCAACATTGCTGGATTTCTTGCCAACTCCATTGTTTGTCTCAATAATTCAGGATTATTGAGCATATGAGAAATTTCTGGATTGCGTGACATCAAATCTTGCATTTGAGGATTGCTCGTAATCAAGGAACGCATAGTATCTGGATTGTTTAACATTTGCTGAACGAGTGGATTGTCTAAAATTGTTCTCATCAACTCTGGATTTCCCATCAATTCATTTTGCATTCTTGCTTGAATATCCATAAAGGAATTGGAATTTGCACCTAATGCTTCTAATCCAGATATTCCACCAATTTGATTTAATCCAAAAGGTGTTTGCCTAACATCAGCCGGTCTCCGAGTAGGTCCTTGAGCTTCCGGTTTTGGTGGTGCTTTAATTACCTAAAAACAAGTTATGTCGTAATGAGTCACTGGAAACATCCAGAATGAAAAAAATTATGATGAAATTACCAAGTGAACTGTAAGTCCATCCTTAATATTGTGCGCTTTCAATGAATCTGCATCTTTGAGGATTTTTCCAGCGAAAATCAAGCACAACTGCTCAACTTCGGCCTCAAATTTCTCAGCGACGATAGCTTTGAACTAGAATATAGACAGAAAAAACAACAAAAAAAATTACAATGATTTTGCAAAATTGATAAACTAGCATTATTCAACATTTTACAGCATTTCATCTCATTTTGGTCACTAGTTTCACAATAGTGAGCATAAGATTGATGAAGAAATGCCGAAAACAACCTTGCGAAATCAGATTTCATGTTTTTTACACGTAAATTTATAAGTCTCAAGGATAAGTATAATTTTTCACTTTTTCTTACCGTTTCTACCGACGAATCCTCATCAATTTCAATATCTTTCTTTTCTTTGGGTGTTTTTACCGAAATTGTAATACGTTTAGAAGATCCTTCTGCCATTTTTGTTGCTTCCTTAGCTATTTAATTAATATTTCTTAATGTCCCGAAAAAATTAAGAGTAAGTATACGTTTTAGTTGTAGCTCACTAGAGTTGCTATTATTTGAATTTTAAATGGCAGTTACTTTTGTGCATAGCGTGTTATAACAATTGACAAGCAGCAATTCAAAAAATTGTCAACAACACATTAATTCTTTAATTTCTAAAAGTATTTATAGTTTAATTTACTAAATGGCACCGTCAAGTTATAAGAAATATGAGAAAATATCCTTTCTCGGTGAAGGACAGGTAAGCTATCGACTCTAATCACTTTAAAACATTAATTGAAGTAATTGTTTAAATTTTTTTGTAGTTTGCTATGGTCTATAAAGCAAGGAACATTGAAACAGACGATATCGTGGCTGTAAAAAAGATTAAATTAGGAAGTAAGGAAGAAGCAAGAGATGGAATCAATAGAACAGCTCTTAGAGAAATTAAACTATTACAGGAATTGAGTCATGAAAATGTGATTGGTTTACTTGATGTTTTTGGACATAAATCGAATGTTTCTCTTGTTTTTGAGTTTATAGATACGGACTTAGAAATTATTATTAAGGATCAAAAAATCGTACTAACGCCCGGGAATATTAAATCATATTTAATACAGACGTTAAAAGGTTTAGAATATTTGCATCGATCATGGATAATGCACAGAGATTTAAAACCTAATAATTTGCTAGTGAATAGTGCCGGCATATTAAAAGTAGGTGATTTCGGTCTAGCAAAGTTTTATGGATCACCATCTAGAATAAATACACATCAGGTAGTAACAAGATGGTATAGAGCCCCTGAATTGCTTTTTGGAGCTAGACATTATGCAACTGGAGTAGACATTTGGGCAGTTGGATGTATTTTAGCTGAACTTTTATTGAGAGTTCCATTTTTGCCGGGTGACAGTGATTTAAATCAATTAGATAGAATATTCTCAGTATTCGGAACTCCATCAGAAGAGCTTTGGCCAGGAGTTAAACTTCTTCCTGATTACATTCAATTTAAACCGTACCCAGCAATTCCATTAAAAGAAATTTTTACAGCTTGTAGCGATGATTTAATAGAAGTAGCTGATAAAATGTTTTCTCTATATCCAATGAAAAGATGTACAGCAACAGAAGCATTAAAAATGCCATACTTTTCAAACCGTCCACCACCAACGGAAGGAAGTAAACTTCCAATGCCTGTAAAACAATCTGAAGAAGAACCAAGTGGCAAGCCAAATCTGAAAAGAAAATTATTGGATCAAATATCCGATAGTATTCCAGGCAAGAAGAGATTGCAATTTTAAACATGCATTTTGGATTTGATTTTATTATTTTAAGTTAAATCTCAAAAAATATTTCTTATCGTCTTGTAAAAGTCTAACTACCCTGTTATATAATTAAGTTTTTTTTCTTACAAATCGTCATTAAACTAATTGAAGAAAAAGAATACAAAAATAATACTCGCATTTTATTAATTATATTAACTACTTCCTTGGAGATTTTCTTGTTTTTTTTTTCATCTAAATTTTAAGGCCATCATATTATTAATAATAGTAAGGTATATTTTATTTGTTAAAACTAAAAAGGAAACGAAAGGAGGAAAATCTATTTTGTTTATCACATCTTGTCGCAGTTACTGTCAAAATTCGTCCTTTGGATTCCTTCTTATTTATTAAGCTTAATAATATCACTTAAATATTTTCCACTTCCGCAAATTGTTTAAGTCAATAATTTTTCATCATTCTTCTTTATCATCGTATAGTGTAGACTCATTCTTTAAAGTTTTACTTTTGGCATAGAAATAGCATAGTCATATAGCCTCTCGCAAGGATACATTGCTATTAAAAAACTTAAGCTAGAGATATTTTCATTTGTTTAGTGGTGATTGCTTCAGTGAGTGAACTTTTCTAGAAATATGCTAAAAGGTCACCAGTAGCAGTGCATTTTTGCCATGATCAATATTAGTAAAGTAGTCAAACTTCGAATTTTCGGAATCAAATTTAACGTACTTTTTTGGAATTTTAAATTAAAACGATTAAAACTGATTTTCGAGATTTAAAATGTTTCAAAACCACACAAATGTTTTTCAAATTTTATAAAAATTGTATGGATTCAAAAAAGTAAATTTAAAATTAATATTAACGGAAAACAAATTGTCAAAAATCAAAATCTTGCAAAAATGCACAAAATATGGGCAATTCTTTGGATGAGTGGAATTTAAAAAAAAGAGCTTTCATAATCCACTGTCAATGAGTTTGTGTCAATAAATTTTTTTCTTTAAATTCATATTACTGTGAAGGAATAATAAGACAGAACTTTCGGAGATCATAAAGCATAATTAATTCTTTAAAAGTGATCTATTGAAATGTTACAACTCACCTAAATTAAGTGAAAAATTGAAAAAATATGTTTGAAAATTTTGTATTTTTTCACGGATTAAGACAAAAAAAAGCTTTTTTATAACTCGATGACACAAGGAAATTTTTCAAAGAATTGAAATATTTCATTAATTAATGACTTAAACCACACAGAAAAGCAACCTAATTAAAGATTTTTGTCTGTGCTATAACTCAGTAAAGGTTATTCAATGTGGATATCTATAGTTTTCTCTAATTTTCGATTCTTCGGATGATGAAAATTAAAAATTCCGATTTCTGTCATCGAGTTATTGACTAAAGAATCCAAATAACTTAATTAATACAGCGACTAGAAGTATATGATATCAGTAGTAGTGTACATTTTAGATTTTTACATCGATAATAATCATAAAATCAGTGTCTCTGATGGGAAAAATCAATAAAATTTCGATTTTTTGCTGAAAATTTTCCAAAAGTTATCCAAAGAATTGCCCATATACGATTTGTAAGCTAATTAAAGTCATGAAAAAAATGTCTAAGCCATTAATTCTTCTTGTGCCTCTGTTTCTTTGGCTCTCTTTCTATTTTGTACGCAAGGCATAAAGCACCACAAACTGCTTCCTGCTATTATTGTTAGTCCAAGGACGAAGAATATGGGTTGAAATTCCCCAATGCTCTCAAAGAAAGATAAACAAATTGGTGGACCCAATAATTGCAAGATTCCATTGACAAACAAGCTAATTCCGTAAGATGATGTCAAGCGGTCAGCTCCTAACATATCTACCATTACGATTGATGTGATTCCAACATAAGTTCCTGTTGCTAGACCAAATATTGAGCAAATTGCACTGACCCATCCATATTGTGATACGAAAGGAAGTCCAGTCAATCCAAATCCAGAAATAACAAGTCCACCAACGAAAAACCAACTCTTTGGTATTAAATTAAGGTCACTAAGAGCAGATCCACCAATTCTTCCAATAAGATCAAAGGTCGAAACGATAGACAATAAGTACGCAGCTTGATCTTTGGTAAATCCAAGCTCTAATGCATAAGAAGGCAATAAAATGATGAAATTTGTGTAGGATATTGCATTTGTACAGTTTGATATTAACAAAATTAAGTATCCAGGATCGCGAAGAAGGGACAAATCAAAGTACTTATCGCAACCAGTCGGTTCTTTTTCTTCTTTCTTCTTATCAGATTTCCGACACGTAGTCATCGGATTAAAAGAACTAGCGATAGAACGTAAAGATAAGTGTGAAGAAAATTCATTGGGTTGAAGTGAGGACAGAGTACCTATAAATCGGGAATAAACTCTATTAAGCACAATCAGGGTTTGATTAAGGAATTTCTTTATATTACCATGAAAAGTTGTCGAAACATATTGAAAGGAAGAAGTAGAAGGTGACGACTTTAATCCTCCCTTCGGTCGGCTTGTGACTCGATTTGAGTTAAGTCTGTGTAATCGCATGGTAGAATTTTGATTATCAGTTAGAGACAAGTTTGAGTTTAATTGTGTAGTAAAGGAAGTAACGGTGCCATTACGTTGCACATTATCACCTTTCATTGGGGTACTGATTTTACGAGTTCGATCATTTGACATTACAGCTGATATTGATCGCTCAAAGCTATTTTTATTCGGATATTTAAAAATGTCATGTTTATAGTCCATTGTCGGTGTATTTGCAATTGGAGTTGCACAATCGTCATGTGTAAGAATAAATTTAGCTAATTTCTTTGTTCCATTTTCTATGCCTTCGCTCGGCTCTTCTTCTACATCTTCTAGAATTTTCTCGTTTCTAAATGTTTTTCCAGATATTAAATCTTCTTGCATTTCTTGCTCATCGTTCTCCTCCACTATCACTCTTTTCATATGCTTGCTAACGTCATCGTAAAAAAGCGCAGCAATAAAGCAATTAAGTGTAATACCACCCATAATAAGGCATGCACCACGGTATCCGAAATTGTCTAATAATACTCTCAATATTGGAGGGAGAAAAATTGAGCCTAAAGCACTTCCACTGATACACAAACCGTTGGCCAATCCTCGGAGCTTCACGAAATAGGATGTCACTATGTACAAGAAAAGCGAATTTTTTTAAAATCAAATTTTGTTGCGAATGTAGTCACAGAAATTAATTTAATATCAAAATTGCCTCACAATAATTAAAATCTCTCCTTCAAAATAACGATATAAAAGATTTATTACAGCCTCTTAACATTGAAGATTTCGTAAGAATGATTGTTCATCGTTTTAAAGCATTTTGAAATAAAAATTCAATTTCTGTCCATTTTAAAGAATTCAAGTTTGAGAAATTTGACTTACCAATATAAACCGTAGGTGGAAATGAAAGTCCTGCTCCAATTCCGACGAAAACTCCATAACTAATGTACAAATATTGAATAGAAGTAGCCCAATGCGTTAGAATCATCCCCGCACTACAAAAAGCAGCTCCAACGAAGGTTACAGTCCTATAAGAATACTTTACGGATAATATTGAAGAAAGAGGTCCTAATGACGAATACAGGAAGTAACATAAAGCTGGAATCCAACTAGCCGCTGTAGGTGTTGAATCCATATTTTCAAGAAATTCAACGAATAAAATTCCAAAGGACTTGATTGCTCCTCCTGGAATTAAAATGTTCACCAGCATGGCACCAAAAAGTACAAGCCATGCGTAGCCTCCATCGGGTGGCACCAACTCATATTTCACCTCTTTTTCATTGTCCATTAATTTTTCATTTTCCTCAGGCAATTTTACTAAAAATAAAGAAAAACAAAGAAAATTACTTATAAGTCACGAATGAGATTTTGGTGGAAATTGGACTTGAATATTTCGTCAATGTGTAAGGAGCCGTTCACTTATTACGTTACGCAAAGAAACGACTTTTTTCACCCCCCCCCCTCCCCCCCATGTTACAATATGTTACAACTCACCCCCCCCCCCCCCCCCCCCCTAACGTTCATAATTCATTTTATCATTAAAAAGGTGAAAAAATTTAAAAAAATGTTTTTGGTGTGAATTTGTAAAAAAAAATTTTCGTGAACTTTTTTTTAAAAGACAGACGACAGCTAGAACGTTACATACTTCTTGACACCCCCCAATGTTACATTTTGCTACAATTTTTCAAACCCCCCCTCCCCCCTAAAATGCGAACGTAATAAGTGAACGGCCCCTAATTAAGGAGGTCATTGAATAACCCAAATAAATAAACTGTTTGAAGCTAGAATTCTCAGAAATCTGTTTAAGAATGCAGATGTGTCGATTATAAGGCCAAAAGCTGTTTAAAAGACATGCTTCAATGTTGCGAATCATAAGTACAATTAATACAAAGGATTTATAACTTAAAGTAGTGCAAATCATACGACTGATGTAAATCAAAATGAAAAGAGGTCGCGGAAACAAAGTCATGACATATCAATTTGTAAACACGATAAATGCTTTTCAGTAGATGGAATTTAGCTAATTAAAGTGTTAGAAGGATGAACTAATCTTTGTAGACTTAAACTTTAAGCAAAATGGGCAATTTAGAAAACAGCTGAAAATCATTCGAAAAATAGACCGTAAATTAAATCAGCGTTTTTCACTCTTCCAGACTTGACTCTATCTCGAGCAAATACAAAGAACACCCCTAAACTGATGTCAGCACAGTTTACAAAAGCAAGGAAATTAAGAGACATGTGCAACTATAATCCATCAATAAACAAATTTTGATAACAAAATAGTGAAGCACATGCGATTTTGCCTCATTCCACGTAAATAATTAGCGATTAAAGACAATCCCACATAGAATTTTAGCAACTAATATAACGCATTGTTATCTCGTGTCTCGGTCTCGGAAATATGGCAGAACTTGAAACCTGATACTGTGTTTTTTGGATGAGTTCATCATTTTTCTTCCACAATTTGTCATAACTCGTGCTTTCTTGATTAATTAAGAGAAAACCAGTCATAAAGGAATTTGAAGCAAACAATTTGATGAGCGCTAAATATTTTATGAGTCGCAGATGTCAATTGATACTTCGTTAACATCATCAAACCCCATCAAACAAATTTAAAAATCATATTAAACAGACAATCAAACTATCAGCATCGTAAATCTTCTCAGTTTACGTCCGCATCTAGCAACATTTAGTGCTTTTGATGCACTTTGGGTGTCTGACTCATAAAATTTCATTCGATTAAATAAGTGTGCAGCATGTATTTCAGTTAGACTTTACACATTGATCACAATACAAGTTTTGTAAAACAAAATTATTAATGAGTTCGCTATTGTGTATTATATTGAATGTCAAGGCTCTACACTCACCACAATTTTTCTCGCTGACTTCCTTTATATCTCCAACATTTCCATTCATTTGTATATGATTTTCAATCGACGGATCATATTCCACACTGCCATTTTCATTGGTGATACTTTTTGGAATGGACTCAAGTGACAAATGTGATAAATTTCTAGCTTTTTCGACTCCCATCTTTCTTAATTAATTTGAATTTATATCAATTTAAAACCAATTTCTTGCTGCTTAATCAACAGATCTGAAAAATATAAAAACAAAAATGAAATTAATTGTTAGAAACATTTTTTTTTATATCTGTCGCTAAGCTTGTTAATATGTATGAAAAGAGTAAACAAACTAGTTGATAAGAGAGAATAAAATGCGTCCATATTGTGAGAATATTTAGTCAGTAAAATATACAGTTATGTCGTCACATGTTTACAGCATAAAAGGAAAAAATAACTCAATGAAACATTTTCAATATTATTTGAAAATGTAAAGGACACGCCGGATGACTCATTGAAGTGTAATTGAATTTTTTTTTCAAAGAATCTCAAAGCCATAACATAAGTCGCACGACATATAGTGCGAATGACTCGTAGAGCTTTTAAGGCGGAAGAATATAAAGAGAGAACAGAGTCAAATAGATTGAAAGACGATAAAAATAAATTGTAAATGCGACATGAACAACAAAACGAAAAGAAATATATTGAAAATGAAAAGAGAGAAGCATGCACAGTGCCTTGACCTAGGTCTGATTTTTGCTGTAAGATATCAAGCATTCATATTTTTCTTTTCTTTCATTTTTATCGCCGAAAAATGATTCAGAAAACATCTGATAGAGGAAATTTTATGAATGTCACTAGGCTAATGATGAATAAGACGTATTTTCAGATTGTTATTCGTCTAACATTGCGAAATAAATCGTTTTGGGCAAAAATATTGAGTTTCAAATTCTTTTTTAATTAACCAACTTTCTATTTTACAACATGACATGTGAACTTCAAGAATACTGCATGAAACTATTAAAATAAATTTAAAAACATTTTTTATTTCCACTTAAAACCCCAAAGTGACCCAAAGTATCACATATCAGTCATAAAAAAGTGCACAAAAACAAATTGCCGTCTTACGTTTTGTCATTTTCTTTATATGAGTGGTTACGATTATTATCATTTAGACACGAATCGAGCAATTCAGGAAGACAGATATGTTTCAATTCATTTCGAGCATTTTTTCGAGCGGATTTCTTGCGAAAATTACAAACTGAATTGTATATTTTGACATTGAGATTACCTCTCTAGGTTTGTGTAATTATTTATATCTCATTACCTAACGAATGTGATATAAACAGAATCATTTGAACTACACTATTTTTGTCCACGATTTCTTGTTACTTGGAATGTCAGATATGACAATCAGTATGAATTTCTGTGAAGAATGTGTCCAATTGACAACAGACTTGATTTACACAAGTATCGCTTGCTTCATAAACTTTTCAAATATCTCATAATTTAATTATTTTGAACTAAAATTTTCCACCAATTTATTTAGATTTTCAAATAAACATTCATTAGTAAGTCAAACAAACAGGCACTCAAGCCAGTCAGCTAGTCGCAATGCGAAAAATTGTCAGCGCAAAAATCGCTTGAAAATGATTTTTTTTTCGATGACGAGCACAATGAATTCGTCATAAACTGCCTTCCTGACTCTTCAAAATAATGACCTTTAGATTAAAGCACTTTACACGTTCAAGTATTTTCACGAAAATGTACAGTGGATGTAGCAAGTTTTTCCAATAACTGACTGTGTTTTTCATTCAATTAGCATTTTTAGATTTTTTTGCATCGCAATTCTGTGAAACTTAGTTTACTTTTCGCTGACTTGATATCTATGAATTTGAAAAAAACAGCTATAGCTCTTTTAGAATTTGCATATTAATGCTTTACAAAAGTAAAATTCTGATGAATAAGAATGTAGACCGGCAAAAAATATAAAAACTTATTGGTCACACATATTAAAGGTAAGTCAAAAAGAAGTCACAGACTGCACAGCTGAGAGGAAATTTTTCTTTTGTCTGCAGCATAACATCTTCATTGCGCTTAGTATAATGACACTCGGGGTGTTTATGAGTAATCTTCATGCATTAAATGGAAAAATACAAAAGTATATCATAGTTCAAGGTCAATTTAATATATATGCCATATAGCATAACATACGAGGCACTTTCTCTTATCAATTGATATTAATTTCACGATAAATATATTCGCACTTCAATTCAATTCAAGTAGTTTGTAATGCCTCATTGTTCATTCGTTCTGTTGCTAACGAAACTTATTTCTTAGACAAGAAAAAAAAAGTTTCCGATTTTTCGTGTGTACGAAAACAAATGTCTATATTATCGAAAAGTACTGTATTGTATGCATGTAGATATATATCTGAATATATATTTTTTTTTCAAAGATTTCACTTACTATAGAAAGTATAAATTCCTCTCCTTTCTGAATGCCAAATTTCAATTTATGTGAATGTAAATTTATTATTTCAGTTCATCACACTTCCTTCCATCAACTTTTTAAGTGATCAATGTTGTATATCCACCATTAAACAATTTTTCTGGTGTTCTCTTTTTTCGTTTTTCTGGTCTAGATTCCTGTTTTTGACTCTTTTGCACTTATTTCACTATAACACACCCATCATTCACATCTAACTTTGATTAATTGTCTATTAAAAATATTAGCACACTCATTTTTTCATAAAGAAAATACAAATATGAAGAAAATCTTCTTTTTTCAATAAATTATTTTTTTGTTCACACTTACAGAGTAATTGAATTGCGACTTGATTCTACAAACATTCGACTGAGAATGAAGGAAAACTGTATAACGAAAAATATTTTCTACACATGGGTATGCATCGTGAGCGTAAAAATCATCTGTTTTTAAAAATGAGAGAGAAAAATAGAAAATCAAGCAATAACCTGAGCTTTATTATTATCTGAGAGAGACCTCTCACGACTAGCTACTTAGTTTTAATTTATATGATTTCGAGAAATATTTTGTTTTTTGTTTTTCTTTATTAAAGTTCTGATGGAACTCACATAGGCATCATCTGTTCGAGCATATTCCTTTCTTTATGTACAATTTTACTTACTATCCTAAAGAGGGTCACCAAAAGCAACAAAATTCTCTCATTGTTTTTAACAATTTTTAAAAATTTGTGAATGAATTTGAATAAATCCGTTGATTTATTTTAAATCTATGCAATTACTCATTAATTAAAGATTCAAATACGGAAAATAAGCGTTTTGGAAAACCCTAATACCTTATAATTTTATTAAAATCGATAAAATAAAATCGTTTCACGTTTGCTTAACGCTTCGTAGAGCAAATACTGCGGCTGAATTAGTAAAGAAGAAGATAAGAGACATAAAATTGAGTCAGCTAATGAAATATTCAATAAATAATGACGAAAATTACCCTTTCCTTTCCCATGTACTGCTTCAAATGCTGCCAATTCCTCAGGATGGTCTTTAAGTTTATGCTTCCGACAATTGGAGCCATTCACAAAGCTTCTACTACAGAAACCACACAGAAATGGCCTTTAACAAAAATCGTGTACATAGAATTAATTCATGGACAGTTTAATATATAATGAGATCATGTACCTTTCTCCACTATGTAAATTCATGTGACATTTGAGGTCCTTGGAACGTTTGTATTCGTTGGGGCAGTAAGTGCACTTGAATGGTTTATCATCAGAATGACAAACTGTAAATACAATTAGCATTTCTCAAGAGATATTACAATATCATATTAATATCCATTACCCATATGAGCTTTTAAATTATTTCGATTACGATAAAGATTTCCACATATTTTACATTCATGCGATTTCTCCAAGTGAGTCTTTTTGTGTTTCCGCAAACTATCCATGTTTTTGAAACGAGCTGAACATATATCACATTGCACGTTCTATTATATTTTTAAAGATTGAAAACCAATTGAAAAGTACTTGAAATAAAGTATTGTTATCAAAAGGGTATGACTAGAACTCACCTTTTCAGTACTATGGGAGTATAGATGAGATTTTAAATTTGATTTGGTACTAAACGATTTGCCACACTGCGTAATAAAACAAGGAACAAAGGTATTAATTAAAGATCTTTCAGATAAATTGAACGATTCAGTAGATGCAGTCATACCTGTTCACAAGTATATAACGATGCCATTTCGTGAACACTAGTTATGTGCGATTTTAACGAATTTTTGTTAACAAATTTCTTCTGGCAAATATTGCACGGAAAAATGAGTTTGAGTTCATCAGGTAAATGCGTTTTTTCATGAGCCATTAATGTTCTCGAGTCTTTAAAGCAACGTGCGCATTGATGACAGACGAATTTTTTGGCATCTGGTCCATGTTTTTGTTTCATATGGTTGAGGTAAGATGCTTTCATCTTATATACCTTAAAAATAAATTTTGTTTACGCCATTTATATCAATATTATGTCATTATTTAAGAAAGAGAGTACATGATGATTAATCAATTTGACTTACCATCTTACACTCTTTACATTCATAATCAAATTTTTCTGGGAAGTGTTTTTGCTTATGAATTAAAAGTCGTTTCCAAGTTCCAAGCATTTTTCCACAATAACACATTACTTGTGGCAAACAATCATGAGCTTTACGGGTATGACTCGACAATTGACACATTTTCTGAAAGTCTTGCTTACATATATGACACGTAAAGCTAAAAAGAATGGATATAAACGATTCTGTTAATGCGACACGGACGTCTCCTATTAAGAAGACTTACTCAAAAAGTTTTTCCTCGTCAGATTTTCGATATTTTCTTCTCTTTTTCGTTTTTATTAAGTGCTGTTCTAAATCAGAAAGTTTTTCTTCGTCATATTCTTCGGATTCAACTTGGTCATATTTCAAGTATAACTTTGATTCACTTAGTTCCTCAATTGTTGAAATCTCACTCTGCATATCTAGTTCTTCTTCGTCTTCTTCTTCAAGCATCTCTTCGTGCTCGTCATTATCGTCAAAATCCTTACTGGATGTATTTGAATCATCGTCTATCCTTAGGTCCAAATTGTTTTCGATTTTTATATCTAAGGCACCAGAAACTATATTTGATTCTTGAAATAAACTCTCTAAAATTTCCTGATTTTTATCTTCTAATACTTTTAGTCCGAAACGATTCCGTATATTATTAATATTTTTCTCATAACTATAATTTGCACTGTGCTGATTAATTAACAAATTTGCCGGATCTTGTTCTTTGAGCAACTCTAAATTCTCCAATTCTTGGAACATGTTCTGCATTAACTTTACTTTCTGAATGAACTGATTAATGTCATTCAAATAGTCATTACAGTCCATACATATCTTTATATTTTCTGTTATCTACAAAAAAAATAATATTGTTATTGTCATAAAATTTATTAAAAAGTCAATTCCTTATTTTTTACCAGTATATTTAAGTTTTTCACAATTTCAATAATTTCAGGATCAACCTTCGATAAGACTTCAAAGCTTCCGCACAATCTGCACCAATTTTGCCAGTCCATAACTCGTAAAAACTTAATTAATGTGTCAATTAGAAAAATTCTCTTTTATAAACAAAGTTCTATGGGCTGTTCAAAAATGATATATCAACTTTAAGTGGAGGATGGTAGGGTCTAATAAATTGTCAGGAACAATTTTGAAAATGAAAAGATCGTTAATATAAATTATTTCCTAAATTATAAATTCTGATAAATTCCATTTAATAAGTTTTTATTTAAAGCATAAATGAGATTTATTTTTCACAATTTTGCTTTCTATATTACCGTCATTAATTTCGGATACATTATCTAATAACAAAAAGGCTACCTATGTCATATAATATCGGAAAAATTGATCTATTGAAATTAGAAACGAATATGTTGAGTAATCAAAAAATATTTACCTAAATAGCAAAACAGATCATAGAAGAATATTAAAATTAATATATGTTCTTTCAAATATTCCAGTCTCATCACTTTTGAATTTTTCTTTTTCACATAGCAAAGAATTAATTAAATAAGTCACAGATTTAAGCTTGATCAGCTTGTTGATTGACAATTGGTTGGCGCATTTCATCATCTTCTGATGCACGACAACACAAGCAACGTCCTATAGCTCTCAATGGTCTCATCACAATTATATCATTGTAGATGCACATGCCAAACAAAAGACTTGCAAAACCGAGAAGTTGTAATGGATGGAAGTTTTGCCAACCAATAGCCAATGAGACGCTCCAAATGACAATTGTTCTAATTGAATCAAGCACCATACGTGTTGTTGCTGATATTTCTTTTGTTACTGAAATACCAGCAAAATTGAAGAATGCAATTGAGAAAATAGTTCCAGTAATTGGAACTAAAAGCATATAATTGTGTTTTATCATGTAGAATGCATCTATAGCATCCTCTAACACGCCTCTTGGATTATTCGAAAAAACTGATGGCACGTGAATAAAATACATTGGAACCAAAAGAATCGATAAGACGACAAATCCAAAAATTCCCTCCCATCCAACAGCTTGCAAACTTGGAATATTTAATGATCCCACATATTTCTCTTCATAAGTCATTTGTGTAGCCGTTATAATTTGAGCCAATACAATCAAACAATCACCAATCAAGATTTTTGTTGTATCACCCTTATTATCATTCGAGAGCATATCCGAAACTCCAACAACTGCTAATCCGACTGCGATAAATAAAATTCCAATCCATCGTCTTGATCCTAATTGTCTACCCAAAAAGAATTTCGAGAATAATGCAACAAAGATGATGACAGAACCTCTGAGCATTTGGAATGATGAAGCATAAGTTAATGTAAGTCCTACGTACATTGTAGAAGTTGCAATAAGATCACACATCTGTAAAGAGATTTTGTTAAAATTAATTAAGTGCAAAGCACTATGGGCCAGAAATCGAAAACTTTTCCGAAAATTATTTTTTTGGTCTAAATGATAGCTCTTTCATTCCCATTTATGAAAATAGTTACAAAAGTGGCCAATTCAGCCTAAGTTCCGAGTTATGGCTTTTCAAATTTTTGATTAAGAGCATTTTCTCGCCCCACAAAAATTGTCACTACTTTTCATTAGATTGATGAAACTCTTTCATTTTTTTTTTATTTGGTAGCTTAAAATAAGAGCTTTATTTTAGGATAGTAAACATTTAATTATGCATCTTTTAACTTTATGAATTTTAAGGTTTTTTCAAAAAAGCACGTGTTCAGTATGATTATGTTCGTCTAGGACTTCACTCTTAAAATAAATGATGCTGAATCTTTTTTTATATTGTAGATATAAACAAGATCTACAACTTTTATTAAGATACTATAAAGTTTTAGTAGAGTTTTGCTGATGAAATTAAGTCTTTTCTTCAAAAAAACTGCAATTTTTTGACATAAATTCCCATAACTTTTCAGGATAGCCCAAAGGAGTGGATTTTTTTTACATGCTTTAAAAGCTCTTTGAATATACTATCAGAATATACAATCAGCTTGAGTTCGGTTACTGAGACAATCTCGAGCAATTTGACTTTGAAGTGTGACCAGAAATACATTTCAAAACATAAAAATTGAAAATAAATTTTGTACGTTTTTCAAAATTTTAGTTTTTTGCTTTAGATCAATAGATCTCATCAAGGCGCATATTTTGAGTATAAATATGTCATAGTTTGAACAATTTTTATACTCAAATTTCAACAAAATCATTTTTATATATTTTTTCAACAAATTTTACTTATTTTTCAATTATTTTAAATCAAAACTTATTTTAAATCTTCTGATTTTGATATTTTTGAAATTTCTATGTTTTTATGTTAAAATGTCATTCCTAGAGCAACAATTCATAAATTTTTTTTACTTTAAGGTAATTTTTTTATAATTTTTTGCAAATTACACTCATTTTTCTTATCTTTTTTTATCAAATTTTATTTTATAATAATTCTAAATATTGAAATTTAATGTAATATGCATAAAAATACTCTTAAATATTTAAAAATCATATTTTATCCAATTAACGTAGGAATAAAGCTGGAATGAGCAAAGCTTTGATATGTTGCTTTAATTTGAAGGTAATTCTCCTTTCGATTCAGAACATATAAGCATCCAATCAACTATTTTTAATAAATTTCGGTATACATACTTATTTCCATGCAATTGTAAAGCATAAACTGCCTTTCAGGTCCGGAAGTTGAAAGCTCAATATTTATAATCTGACTGGACTCACTAATGGTGACTGGAATTTACCAGTATGAAATATATAAAGTATATATACAAAAGTTTGAAAAGATTGCATCGTTTCGAAATTTATCAAAACTAAATGATGGTTCTTGAATCTATTTTTGTCTATGTATAAGGATTTAAGTGCCTCGCTGGTCAGATAAGTAAGGCGATTGGCTCAAATTTGGTATGGTAACTCGATGGTCGTCGGTTCCAATCCAGCCATTTCCAAATTTGTTCTTTTTCAGAAGTTTAGATACTTCGACTGCTTAATGTACGAGATCAAGCCATGAGATATTTGGATTAAGGAACGGATGAGGAACATGAAGTGTAGCGGGAGAAATAGGAACGAGAGCTACAAGATTACCTTATAATGATAAATTGTCAGAACGGATCTGAAATGTATCACGTTGCGCCCACAGATCAGTAAAAAAAGTATATGCAAAGACAAAAATTTGAAAAATCAATGAAATATGCTAAAAAACTATAAGGAACCATTCAAAATTGGATAAAAATTGTCACAATAAATTTGATAGATTGGAAAATGGTTGATAGCGTTTTCCTTTTTAAAAACTATTTTCATTATAGGTCTTTAATTTTAATAATTCGTGGTGATAGTTTATGCTTTACAATTGCATGGAAATAAGTATGTATACCGAAATTTATTAAAAATAGTTGATTGGATGCTTATATGTTCTGAATCGAAAGGAGAATTACCTTTGCTCATTCCAGCTTTATTCCTACGTTAATTGGATAAAATATGATTTTTAAATATTTAAGAGTATTTTTATGCATATTACATTAAATTTCAATATTTAGAATTATTATAAAATAAAATTTGATAAAAAAAGATAAGAAAAATGAGTGTAATTTGCAAAAAATTATAAAAAAATTACCTTAAAGTAAAAAAAATTTATGAATTGTTGCTCTAGGAATGACATTTTAACATAAAAACATAGAAATTTCAAAAATATCAAAATCAGAAGATTTAAAATAAGTTTTGATTTAAAATAATTGAAAAATAAGTAAAATTTGTTGAAAAAATATATAAAAATGATTTTGTTGAAATTTGAGTATAAAAATTGTTCAAACTATGACATATTTATACTCAAAATATGCGCCTTGATGAGATCTATTGATCTAAAGCAAAAAACTAAAATTTTGAAAAACGTACAAAATTTATTTTCAATTTTTATGTTTTGAAATGTATTTCTGGTCACACTTCAAAGTCAAATTGCTCGAGATTGTCTCAGTAACCGAACTCAAGCTGATTGTATATTCTGATAGTATATTCAAAGAGCTTTTAAAGCATGTAAAAAAAATCCACTCCTTTGGGCTATCCTGAAAAGTTATGGGAATTTATGTCAAAAAATTGCAGTTTTTTTGAAGAAAAGACTTAATTTCATCAGCAAAACTCTACTAAAACTTTATAGTATCTTAATAAAAGTTGTAGATCTTGTTTATATCTACAATATAAAAAAAGATTCAGCATCATTTATTTTAAGAGTGAAGTCCTAGACGAACATAATCATACTGAACACGTGCTTTTTTGAAAAAACCTTAAAATTCATAAAGTTAAAAGATGCATAATTAAATGTTTACTATCCTAAAATAAAGCTCTTATTTTAAGCTACCAAATAAAAAAAAAATGAAAGAGTTTCATCAATCTAATGAAAAGTAGTGACAATTTTTGTGGGGCGAGAAAATGCTCTTAATCAAAAATTTGAAAAGCCATAACTCGGAACTTAGGCTGAATTGGCCACTTTTGTAACTATTTTCATAAATGGGAATGAAAGAGCTATCATTTAGACCAAAAAAATAATTTTCGGAAAAGTTTTCGATTTCTGGCCCATAGTGCAAAGGAACCTATATGATCATCATTAACTTACAGCTGGTGGCATGAGAATGAACTGACTAAAGTTTCGATTTCCTTTGGTCAAAGTATGTTGATCTTCGCTTCCATCCTTTAATAAATATCGTAAATAAATATATGTAAAGATTAATCATTATCGTAGCTTATGAGTCATTAGAACTTACATTCTTTCGTTGTAATCGACAAAAAAGAATTTTAAATACAACTACGCATAAAAATTCACCCATGAACATAATGGAAGCTTGGATAAATGGGTGATTGAACTGTCTTGGTGTAGTATCATCCTTTCCAAACGATTTGATCTTATCGGTCCATCTATGAATGTTAATTAAATAATTAGATCAAAGTTTTAGTGACCTTTAGAAAGTGAAATTAACTTACTTTGTGGAAATCGTATTTATAGAACCGCAAGTAACCAACAGTAATGCTAGAAATACTTGATATCCTGTCCAGGCCATATTTAAAGCTTAACACTAATCACTAATGCCACAAATTCTTATTTAAAATCAGAGAAAAATTTCTTTGTTGTCCTTATTTTTGTGTCTTTATGGCGTATTTATTCTCTGAATGACATTCCAATACTGAGAAATGAATTTTTGATTATTTTAATGCCAAATAGTCGAGGGTGTAGGAACTCGGAAACTTTTATTATGCTTCATAAACTTTTTTTGAGTTTTGTGATTTTTACCCTCAATTTTTGCAAACTAAGTTTATCAAGTCCCATTTAAAATGAACTGCTTTATGCTGGGCATTAATTTTTAAAAAGAACGTTAAAAAGTAGAGCATGTGCATGTTCGCTAGTCTCCAGAACAGACAGGTAGAAAATGTTAAAATTTTTTTTTTCTTTATTCCTTTTAATGTCTAATCTTCTGTATCGCAATGGAAATGAATGTCCTTTATTGTTCGTATTGCTTTATGTATGCTACTGTAATAGTCATTTATTTATTCTTAGATCTGTATGATTTGAACCTGAACAATTTGGTTCTGATGAAACATCATCATCAATATAAAGCATGTAATAGACGCAGAGTATTATGAGATACTGACTTTTTATGTAATGATTCATGAGTTTATTATTATTGGCGATCCAAAACATCTTAATCATAATCGTTCGCAAATATTTTAACTGATCTGTGAAATTAGCAAATAAATAAATTTCAATTGGATCTGACATGAAATGCTTGACATTAAGAAGGATTAACGTAAAAATGCAGTCTCTTGACAATTTTGATATAATTATTAATGGCACTCAGATCATGCATTTCAATAATATTCGCATGCTGCACTCGATCGTCTATGTGCTGTGCTTTCCATTTTAACATGATCGATCGCATTTAATAAATTGCATCCTGTAAATTACTATTACCTTCTAACGTTAATCAATTAATAAGTATTTATTCCTGTGAAAATCTTTCATCGTCAAAATGTGTCCAAAAATATATATCTCATCCCAATAATTGAAGAATGATCGAATTATTTTGTAAAATCGACTATAAAAGAGTCATGCATTCAGCTAAAAAATTTAGTATAGATTTGTGGGAGCTAAAGTGAACAAGTCAAGTAAATATAGTGTGGATCTTCTTATTATTCTATTGCTGTGCATAATAATACTTATTACATTAATAGTAAAATTCCAAGCGACTAAGCTTCATAATCAAGTGCTGAAATTTAAATCTCGATTTGATAATAATGGAAGAAAGCATGAAGCGATGGGAAGGTAAAGTTGCTGTTGTCACAGGAGCCTCACAAGGTATACAATATTCGATTGTCAATTTAGATTACAATGTAAAGTAGAAATAATTTAGGGATCGGTGCCTCAGTTGCTGTAACTTTAGCAAAGTATGGAATGATTGTCTGTGCATTAGCTAAAAGGTAATAATTGTGGTGGATACAAGCAGCATTATGATATTTTAAATTAATAACTTATAGGAAGGATAAAATCGAGGCATTGCGTGTTGGATTAATAAAAATTAAGGGACAACTTAATGCTGTCGAATGTGACATTGCCAACGAGCAATCAGTTCAAAGTGCATTCACGTGGGTCGAAAAAACTTTCGGTGGAGTTGACTTGTTGATTAATAACGGTGGAGTCTATACTAAAGCTCTCTTCACTGACGAGAACAATTCACGAGAGTTAAAGAACATCATTGACAATGAAATTTTAGGAAACATCTTGTGCACGCGTCAGGCAGTCAAGTCAATGAAAACTCGTGATGTCAATGGACATATCGTTAACATTAATTCAATTTTTGGACATAAGGTCAATCAAGCTGTGCCAGGAAATAAGCCAATGAATTCCCTTTATCCACCAGCTAAGCATGCAATCTCTGCCGTGACTGAATGCATTCGTCAGGAACTTCTGTATTTGCAGACTCAAATTAAGATCACTGTAAGTAACCGCTCATGCTATGTCTTTAATGTCATTTATTAATCTAATTTTACAGTCAATTAGCCCTGGATTGTGCGAACAAGACATTATTACTAGCTGTACAGACAATGAACTTGTAGGTTTGATGCCAAAAATGAAGCCAGATGATGTTGCAAATTCAGTTATTTACTGCATAACTTTACCAGATTCAATTAATGTTCACGAATTGGTATTAAAACCAATCGGAGAATTCGTTTAGATTTATGCTGAACAAAATTTCTATCTAGTAAATTTTAATTAGATTGGTAGTAAATTATGATGATAATTGAAAGATATATCCACAAATAAAGCATTGAGATGTCGTGTAAAAATTGTAATTCAGAGAAAAATAATTTAATAAATAATTGAGAGCGATTTAGATCATGAAAAGAATTAAATACTTGTTGATTCCTTTCAACAAAACCACTCAACGATTAATATACTAATCACTATTAATTTGTAGCTTTCACATTAGACGATTGATTTCCGTTAATGCTGTGTACATCAATTTTTTTCTCTCGCAATTGTAGTAGGGAAATATTTGCATTTATATGAATGCAGTGCATTTGCTTAAAAAGCAATTTTGCAGGGAAAGAAGAGGCCCAAAGCGATGTACTGAGCACATTCGTTTTAGTGGAATTTAATAAAAATTCTTTTAGATCTTTCGCCAAGAAACAGATTCACACTTAATTGATGTCATAAATAAGTATAAATCCCGCAAATACTGATCATATTTTCTTGTAAAATCACTTAATAATAATTGAAGTAATAAATACCTTAAACATTTCATATCAAAATTCCTTGTTTATTGAGATTTAATCAGGTTGTATCATATGCTTGGCTATATCACTAAGAACGGTTTGGATTTTTTCCAGCAATTCTTCTCCCTTCTTTACTACTTCCTCTAAACGTTCAGCCTCGAGTCGATTCTCTTCTTCTAGCATCTGTAAACTTTGTACTTGCAATTCTGGAGAGCTTTCATCATTTGGAAGGGAATCTATCAGTTGATCGATGTCTTTTGCACACCTTGTGATTATAGTAGCAAATAGTTGAGCTGTAAAGGTATGGATTAAGTGAATTATTTATCTCCAATTTTCATTACTGGATCTGTTACCATAATCTTCCTGATTGTTGTTTTGTTGAGGGGTTTGAGAGCCAGATCTTTCGAATCCAGTAAATTTACTTGGAACAGAACATTGTTGGAGGACACCTGGATAAAATATAAAGTTAATAACACTAGAAATACCTTAGACTGTTTGGATTTACCGATTGAGTTGCAAAAATTCTCCGCTTGCTGCAAAAATACACGTTTTTTAATTATCTTCACTATATCCTGGTCAATTGACTTACCTGATTAACCATGTCTTGCAATTGAGTAAGTCTATCTGCCATTTTAACTTAATATTTTAATTTTTAAGATGAAAAAATACTTTTGTTTACGTTTTGTTGATTGTTTTTGGAAAGTAAGAATGTCGAATTACTATAGTTATAGCGCATGTTTAGAGAATACAACTTAAATAAATGATTTGATTAGCGATTATGAGTTGAAAATAAGTTTCAAAATTCAAAGCATTTTGTGATATCAAAAATATCACAATTCGCATTTAAAATTATAAATCTCTTAAAAACTTAGTGCAAATTAGTGTATGAGTACAGTGACAGACAGACAAGCAATAATCTAATTACTCAGACCAAACCAATAGTAAGCTCCTACTGCAGCGATTTTAAACATAATAAAAATTAATTTAATACAATGAGGAAGGCACCAAATTACAAGTTTTTGGACTTAGCTCATAGAGGAGTAGTGGTCACATGCATTGGACTTACACTTTATGGATCTTGGATGCTTGGCAGTAAGTTTTATACATATTTTACAGTCATTAAACCTAGAAGAGAAGAACAAGAGTTGCGAATAATTCAAGTAAGTTGATTTCATAGATAATTTACAGCTGGATCACTTAATTTCACTGCCTTTCCAGGAATTAGATAAAATGGATACTTCAGCCTTGATTGACAACGCGAAACCATTCAGTTCTTAAACTTTGTAAATTTTCAATATTTGAGATCCAGTAAATTAGATTTTAAAATAAAGATTTTTGTTTATAGAAAATAGACATCACGTTTGAACTTTATTATTGTAGCAAGTTTCATTATAAGTGAATTTCAGAAACTGTCTGTGCAAGTTCAGTTTGGTCTGTGTTTCATCAATATTGGTAATCAATGAATATTTTTTTACACACATGATAAGGGGCCATTCACTTATTACGTAACGCTTTTAGGGGGGGAGGGGGGTCTAAGATTTGGTTACGGTTCAAACAAGGCAATTTTTTTCTCATACAAATTTTGTTACAAGGGGGGGGGGGGGTCTAAAAAGTCATTTTTTCGCGTTACGTAATAAGTGAACAGCCCCTAAGGGTTTAAAGGAATTAGTCAGAAGAAATGCCGTCAAATAGCTCATTGCTGAAAATTAATTACTAGGGGTCCTCGACTTGAGTAGTTATTTTGTTCGAAAAATTTTCTACTCAAATCGAGGACCCCCAGTAAATGTTTATTGTTATTTTAATGTTTGCAAACCCTACAAATGTTTACTCAAAACAATTATACGGTTCTCAATTTGAATTTATATTACTGGGGGTCCTTGATTTAAGTAGTTATTTTGTTCCAAAAATTTTCTACTCAAATCGAGGACCCCCAGTAAATGTTAATTGTTATTTTAATGTTTGCAAACCCTACAAATGTTTACTCAAAACAATTATACGGTTCTCAATTTGAATTTATATTACTGGGGGTCCTTGATTTGAGTAATTATTTTGTTCCAAAAATTTTCTACTCATATCGAGGCAAGGAAGGAATTCATACAAAATTACATGTTTTGTTCCAGATTCCAAAAATTGTATCAAAACAATGAAAATTTTTATAATTTTTTGCACATTTTATCTCGTTTCTTAACTTTTCTTTTGTGTTTTATATAACTTAATTTATTTTAAAGCATATTCATATGTAATTTCAACAGAAATTTACAAAAAATATGTTTTTTCAACAAATCAAAAATATGAGAACCTTACAAATGTTATTTCAACCGAACAATTTGTAAGGTTTTGAAATTTGAACTTTTTAAAACCGTTAATTTTATACCGATTTTGTAAATTTTTCCCTTTAATTTGGTATCTTTAGCATTGATTTTTCTATCAAAATAAGTAGTTCACGATTATTGCATTAAAATTTGTGTTTTAAAAATATTTTCTGAAAAGTTTTTGTCAAATATGTTTGTTTTGTAAACAACTCAAATCGAAGAAAACAGGAAGAAATCTCCTTAAATCGAATATTTTGGTGGGTAAAAATATGTCTATTTAAATCGAATCTACTCAAATCGAGGACCCTCAGTAAATGTTTTTTGTTATTTTAATGTTTGCAAACCCTACAAATTTTTACTTAAAACAATTATACGGTTCTCAATTAGAATTTATATTACTGGGGGTCCTTGATTTGAGTAGTTATTTTGTTCCAAAAATTTTCTACTCAAATCGAGGACCCTCAGTAAATGTTTTTTGTTATTTTAATGTTTGCAAACCCTACAAATTTTTACTCAAAACAATTATACGGTTCTCAATTAGAATTTATATTAACCAGTTTAATTTTCAATATAAAAAGACATGTGGTTATTTAAAGTCACCTGAAATGCAATGAAAAAGAAAAACAGCTTTTGATTATTTACTCTTATAAAATTTATTAATCAATTAATTGGTTATCCTTTGTATTCTATATATCCTTTGTTGTTGTTGTAATTAACTCAAAGTTTTTCTCTTTACTTTATTTATTTTTTTTTTTTGAAAAAGACCCCTTAAAAATGATTTAATGCTTGTTAGTCGCTTTTCTCTTTAAACAAAAATAAAAAAAGAAATGTATGTCTTGCTGGGGAAAAAAATAATAATTATGGATTTTACATAAATAAATTAATAAAATGGATTATCTACCATAATATAATTGTTTTTTTTCTGGCTTATCTAAATTCTCCTCTTCTCATCCTCACATTCCCAAAAAAGAATAAAGTTAATGTCCAAAATTAATTAATAAATTTCTCTCTTTAATCTTGCACATTCCATTTTTATAAAATTTTCTTCATATTACTTAGGAGCACATAAAAATGCAAAAAAAGGAAGTCGATTTAACGATATTTTTTTATAAAAATAATCTGAATTATTCTCTTTTCTTCACTATTTACTAAAAAAGTTATTAAAACTGTTGAATTTCATATGAATAAACGCTGAAATTATCATAATATAATAATGGATCGACAGACGTATACGTGGGAAATTCGAAATAAACTTTATCTTCTTTACGTAATAAAAGAAAAATACGAAATTTTCATATTTATGTGCGAATTTTAACAATTTCTACTATCGTCTATGATTGTTGGGTAACTTATGAAAATTTCATCATATTTTATCTAGGTAGGATCGATTTCAATATCAGGTGGATCATCTTCATATCCATTTGGTTAATACGCATCAAGTATGCATCTGATATAAGCTTGTTGACTCATGGGAATTATTTTGTGTATTTAAATGCTTAAAGATGCAAAATTAGGGGTTCTGATGAGCAGAAACTATCCATACTCTTTATAAATTGAGACCTGGTTCTGGGATGAGGTTATAATCGCCAGAGATAGATTTTAAGATATGGATTTGTCAACTAGCTTACATTAGACTCAAACTGGACTTATCCTAGACACAAAATAAACTTTATTCATAAATCCCCCACGCTTTAAGATTAAATGATGATAAATAAATTAATTTCATAGAAAAAAATATCCACAATTTTTCTAATGGAGCAAAATTAAAAATATATTTTATGCAGAAAAATAATAAATTGAAATAGAATAGCTCCATCACATTCCTTTTTCTCTTTCATAACCATATCATCTATACTTGATTGATAAGTTTCCTCCATTTCGTTCCTATACTTTATAAAATTATTTAATTTACCATCTCAAATGTAATATACTTCCTAGCAATATTTTTCTTTATATATGATAAATTATCTGGACTTGAAAAATAACTCCAGATTAGGAAAACTTTTTTAATCATTTTTTTTTTGCTTCTTCTTCTTGAAAAGAAAGAAATACTTATTGACGGATAGTGATTATGTAAAAAAATAAGTAAAATAGAATAATTTATAAGTGGTTAATAACCCAAATAATAATAAAGATGTAAGAATCTTATGTATGCGTTGCGTACGACATAAAATAACATTATTTTCTTTTCATATAATTTTCTATCCCACAATTATTTTCTGCGATAGGATTTTCTTCATAGTTTTAAACGTTATTATTACAAATAAACTTGGAAAAGTTGAAAAATTATAAGAAAAAAATTAAAAGCTCTTCAAGAAAGTTTGCATTTAGAACTTTGATATAAAAAGATAATAAGTCGATTGTTGTTGTTAATTTGAAGATAGTTTGAGGGCTTTCTACAAGATCTTGCATCTCTTCTTTTTTGCGGGTTCTGGTGGCTCAAGAGCAGCTAAAATCGCTTCATCAAATACATTTTTTAATCCTTTCTGCAATGAGTAATCAAAGTCAAAAAATATGAAAAATTAATTAACTTCTGAGCGGAAGTGATGATAATACGTACTTGTGTCAATGCCGAACATTCAACATATTTGACCGCCTTTAATTCTTTTGCCAATTTCTCGCCTTGCTCTAATGTAATCGGTTTTTGTTTATTCTTTGCCAACTTTTCCAATGTTCCATTCTCATCGCGTAAATCGATTTGTGTACCGACTAGCAAGAATGGTGTTTTTTGACAGTGATGTGTAATCTCTGGGACCCACTATAAATTTATCATGAATCATTTGAAATAACAGTTTGGAGTGACAATAACAAACTTTACCTTTTCTTTAACATTTTCGAATGAACTTGGACTAACAACAGAAAAGCACACAAGAAATACATCGGTTTGTGGATATGACAACGGTCTCAAACGATCGTAGTCCTCCTGACCTAAATTACACATGGATTGAATGATGACGGATTACATTAGAATTCAAAGCATGTTCCAATAGTTTATTTACCGGCAGTATCGAACAATCCTAATGTGTATGGCTCACCACCTATCATGACTGTAACTGCATAGTTATCGAAAACAGTTGGAACGTATTCAGATGGGAATTTGTTAGTTGTGTATGAGATGAGGAGACACGTTTTACCGACAGCACTGTATGAGAGAAATTAATAGGATATTAGATAATCGTACGACACAAAATGTCATCGAGTTCGAGTTCTTACCCATCTCCGACGACAACACATTTAATGGTCTGCATTTTGGCCTCACAAGTCTATTGAATAATCTTTTATATGGCGTAATTTCACACTATTTATAAGCAAATTTGTGTTTCTAGCTTCCAATTTTGTTCTTACTTATATGAATTCAAGTTTAAAAATTACAAATTAGAAAAAACTAAACATCTGAAAATAAATATAATTAAGAATGGAAACAATTAGAATTTGAAATGTCTGTGGGAGTGTCCTAATATGTAAATACTCGTCAATTCACTCGTACATCATAGCTTTAGTGCTCACAAAATTGCCAAAATTATAGAACTTCCAAAACTTCTAATTCGCTCACTTAAAATTGCATGCACAAAATATGAATCAATAAGTAAGTCTATACGACATTTGTAAGCTACAAATGCTCACCAAACAAAAAAAAAATATTTTTGAGTCAAACGAATTGATTACATTTAGCCATAAGTGAATTTAGAAAGCATAAAGCATCGAGTTTATTAAACAGAAATATAGAGAAAAAAATATAATAAAATTATTGAGAGCTAGCTTATGAATCATTCATCATTAAATGTTTTATCTGTGATCACTTAATACTCATTGCTTTAGATAATATTATTTCGCTCTTTGTTTTATCACTTATTTTTTATGAAAAAGATTTATGCTGAATTTTGCACATTAATTAATAAAGCTAGTTGCAGCAAGAAATCCATTAACTTTAATATACAGGAAAAATCATCATATTGTGTGTGGAATTTTAATTTGCATCCGAGAGAAGAAAAAATCTTTGCTGAATCATAAAAATCACTCCCTTTTTCTCGTATTGATAGCATAGATCCAGCAAAAAATTTCTCAATTTTACTCAAAACTTGATTAAAGATCCAGTTATTAATGAACTGTATGAGAATATTAATAAGTCTAGTATCGATTTATGCTTATCAAAAAGCTTAGGTAAAGCGTTTAGGGTTTGTGACATAATCTTCAAAAATTCCCCGGAATTACGAGCAGCCATTTTCACGCTTACTTTCATTAACTGTTTCACATATTTTTGGCACTTTAAAGCACTTTCACGACGTCAAATTAATATGCACACGATTCTTTAATATCTTAAGTAAAGTATTATACACTTAAATCAAAGATATAACAATTAAAAGATCACTTTATTACCTATAGAAGTTTTATGAATCTTTATGTTGTTCGTTTTAATCGACGAAGGGCTACAAACTCAATACTTTTAAGAAATTATCGTTGCTTAATTCCTGAACAGACTTTTTGAATTTGTTCATTGAACGGATTTTTATTTCTTTATTTTATGGAATAAAAACTTGCATTTTTGATTTGAAATTAAAGCTTTTGATTAATGGCTGAAATTTGGGTGAAAAAAGTATGAAAGCATAATCTTGTCTGACAATTCCAGCAAAAAACGTGAAAATTCTTGATTGGTTGTTGTAATTTTAAAAGTGACTTAACTATAAACAACATTCTTCTAGTATAATAATATATTCTAGATACTGGGGGTCCTCGATTTGAGTAGATTCTATTTGAGTAGATTCGATTTGAACAGAAAATTTTTTACTCACCAAAATATTCGATTTGAGTAGATTTCTTCGATTTGAATTGTTTACAAAACAAATATTTTTGATAAAAACATTTCAGAAAATATTTTTAAAACATAAATTATTCTGCAATAAGCGTGAACTTATCATGTTGATCGAAAAATCAATACTAAAGTTACAAAATTAAAGTAAAAATTTAAAAAATTGATATAAAATTAACGGTTTTAAAAAGTTCAAATTCAAAAACCCTACAAATTGTTCGGTTAAATAACATTTGCAAGGTTCTCATATTTTTGTTTTGTTTCAAAAACATATTTCTTGTGAATTTCTGTTTAAAAACAATATGAATATGCGTCGAAATAAATTAAGTTATCTAAAACACATAGGTAAAGTTAAGAAACGAGGTAAAATGTGCAAAAAATTATCATAATTTTCATTGTTTTGATACATTTTTTGGACTCTGGAACAAAACATGTGATTTTGTATGGATTCTTTGCCTCGATTTGAATAGATTCGATTTGAGTAGAAATTTTTTGGAACAAAACAACTACTCAAATCGAGGACCCCCAGTACCCCCAATAGCTCATTGGCAGACACATGTGATAGCAAATCGTTTAACGTGGTTTATCATTTATCGTTCGAATCCTATTTGAGTCAAATTTTGAAAAATGATCTGAAACAATCATGACACCCCCCATGTTAACAAGCAGTTGTTGTAGAACCAGTATATAAAATGTTGCTGAGTTTGCTTGCATATTTAATAACACGATCGAAGTTGCCGTCATGTCTTGCTCAGTTCACTCTTTGTATGAACCCCTACATGCATACTACTCATTCGTTTTTGATTGTTCAGTGGAATCGGATGTTAATAACGAATTAGTGTAGTATATTAATGAAAAATTGTCACAAAAGCCTCAGATAGAGGCATCAATTCAAAGATTTTCATAGTTGTGATATGAAAAAAAATGTGCAAAGTGAAAAATTATTAAATAAATTAAAGAAAATTGAAAAAGAAAAACTGTGAAAGTGAAAAAGAGAGAAAAAATTACTTAAAATAAAAATTTTTAAGCCATTTTTGCAATAAATCGAGTGAATAAATGATTGTGTAAATTCTATAAATAAGTAAAGCTTAGTACTATATAAGAATATTAAAAAAAGGAGTGCTAAAAAAGTGCAAAAGATTTAAATAAACAACAAAATTATACAAGTAAGTCTTTTTTTTCTCATTTTTTATCGATACTTTTGAAACAGTCATACTGTCTCACTCTAGCTAATGTAGAGTATTACTGGCGACCAAATGAAAACAAAATGTATGAAATAAGAAACAAAGAAATGAGAAGAGAAAAAAGTAAAATTTTGATGATGAAAGTGAATGAATATTCCATACGTATTATTACTATTATTATATGCTGAAAACAAGTTATAAATACATACATGCTACTTTTATTTTGGAATTAATATGAGTTTGCAAACTTACCTTACTCACAAAAAAAACGCAATATTTCATTTACGTACTATGTTCATGTTCATTGAAAATATATGTGTGTATACATATGAAAGAACATAGCATAAAGTTTTTTATGTCTATTTATGGCTTTAGTAAAATGAGACGTTAGAATGTAATTTAATTAAATAAATACTTATAGCAGCAATTTTTATCATTCCTAATAATATTATACAGTCTAAGCTCATATAGCTCTTTGAAATTCTTAGCTGACATACACAAGCATACGTTTAAGTTACAACTTTTGCATAAATTAATTTGAAATTATGGTAATTTCTGTATAGAATAAGTGCTTACAGACACAATATGTGGAAGCAAGTAAGTAACATCTTCACATATGCGTGAATTTTTAATTTCCTTCAAAACTGAAATTATTGAAACGCACACAAAATACAAAATTGCTGTACTGTACATATGTACAATACATATCCTCGTCACATGGTGTCAATAAAATTTGTAATACGAGTATATAGTATAGAAATGTTATTGCAAATCTCACAAACTTGAAATAAAATAAAATTACATTTCGATGGATGTAGTATTAGTGTACGTACATTTTTTATTATACGGATATATCTGATTCAAGGTTAATTATAGCTACCACGACTATATAGTTTTTGCTTTTCAAGAAAAAAAGCCATTGGCTGGGTCAAAGTTATTCACTAAAATTGTCTTAAATCTCGTCATTGCTGGTTGATCATTATCGCATACAGAAATTATATTGTGGTTGTTGTACATTAAGGCATTGATGAATGAAAACGAAAATTACAATGTCGAGTTTATGAAGGAAAAAGACGAAAAAATAAATTGCAGTAGGAATATTAGAAAGATTAAGCGTTGAGAATAACTCATTTTATGCCTGAACGATTGGTGAAATGAAGCGAGGTAATGTTCTGACGATGAGAAATGTAAATCATTCAAACATTATTATATACTTATACTGTACAAACACATAAGACGAGATCTTGTGAATTTGAAAAAAAGAGTAAATAATATATAAAGCATGTATAGAGAATGCTGTGAAGAAGCAATGATAAGAATAAGAAGAAATGCTTTGTTGAGGATATACGTAAGTATATATAAATGTATGTAAAAATTGAAAAAAGAAATCGAATATATGTATAACATTTGAAGCGATGATTGTTAAAAAGACAAGAGTTCTCTTTGTTGCTCCATACCTCAAACCAAATAAGTGGATTCGACAGTAAAATGATATGGTGAAAAAATTTATCAACATTATCGTTCTTCTCAATTCAATTTCCTTTAAAAAAAAAAGATGAATGTGGAAGACATTAAAATTGTAAATTGGATATTCCTTTTTTCATGCTTTAGTCTCCTCTGTCAATGAATTATACATCATCATCATATATTCTTGTTGCCTTTTCAATCAGATAATACCGAAAATAAGTATAAATTTCCATAGATTCTTTTTCTACAGCTAACTTACTTAAAAGCTTCAATGTTGGAAAGGAAAACTTTCCCATTTTTCTTTGTTGGCATAAAAAATTGCCTTTTTTCGTTCTATTCTTTTTTATTTGTTTTATATTCTTTACAATTTTTTTACTCATGGCAAAATTGAACGAAAATTTTCAACATCACCAGTAATTCTCCATCTTGGTTTTATCTTCTGGTATATTCACGCATACATTAAATTATTGTGAGAATGAAATAGAAAGAAGAACAAAAATAAAAAAAAAGAATGATTGTTCATCATTCGCTGTTAATCTAATTTCGCTTTCTTTAAGCGATGAATGAATTGCTGTCTTTATTACGAAAGAGAGTAGAAAGTCACAAGCGATATAATGTATTATGAGATGAAGTATACGTAGCAAGAATTACATGACGACAAACACACATATACATTTCATGATAAATAAGCGTGGAAACTTTCTGCTAAATTATCCATATAAATCACTTTGCCTTTTGGGCAAATAAGCAATTTTGCATCTACTTAAATTGGATTATTCTATTGAGAATTTTCCGACTTTCTCTTTCATTCTCTTCCTTGATTGATTCCTTTAATAATGGTTATGTATACATAAATGATCTCTTTTATCAGCTACTTTTTATTTCCCATTTATGCTATCCTTCCTTTCCGTTCCTTTATGTTAAAATTAGGGATTTCAATTTATCCATGCTTTCGAGTAGCTAAGGTGAAAATTAAATAATTCAAATTATTCACTAGAACCGGAATTGAGTATCCCTACATAAAATGCTTGTTTCCTTAACCTTCCAGCAATCATCATCGCTCTTATTCACATATATACACACATAAAATGAATAAACAAATCTTTTGGCACTGATGGGATTGAGAAATGAGTTTCACATTCGTATACAATAAATTTCATATCAAACCATCCATACTGTACCTATAGCAACCTCAAAAGAACAAATGTTGTACAAAAACGAAAGAAAAATGGAACAAAGAGAAAAAAGGATGACACATCAGTTAGGGGGGCTTGTGAGTTGTTTTATGTTGGATCTTTTGTCGTATCGTGCGTTTACATTTCCGTTTATGAATATGATAGAAAAATTGTTGTTGCTTTCCCAGTTGTACTTTTGACTCACGTCTAGGATTTTCTTTGTCGAACCGAAGAAAAGGGTTGAAAGGCAAAAATCAGAAAAATATAAAAATAAATTCTGTGGGTTTTTTCTTTCATGAAAGTTTCTTTTGTTTCAAAGATATAGAGTAGGAGTAAAAATAAGGCTGAATCCTCAAAATATTTAATTTATAGTAAATGAATTTCCTTCCTTCCATTTCATCGAAAGTCTCTTAAGAATTTTATATTACTTCATTTTATGGATACATCCTTCACATATCTACTCTTTCATTAGTTCTAACTTAACAAATTTAGGCAATGTTTGTGTAACAAAAAGGTTTTGTGGTAGAAACAATAAGAGGAGTTCAGTTTCTGTTACTATTTTTATCATCGCATATAAAGATGATGACGAATGAATTTTGATATTTTTCTTTTCATTTTATGCTTGGCTTCTTTATCGGTTTAGAGTCAAGGCAGTTCTTGCAAGGAACTTAATTAAATTTAGTCATACTTTTTTTTGTGAATAAAAGCACAAAAATAGGAAATCCTCCACAGAAAATTAATCCAAAAACGCTTAATAAACATTTTAGAGACATATGAATGTGCATCTTATGTGATGAAAACTATGAAGTACAGGATATAAAATATTTTACGATTTTCCTACAAAAAATATTTTGAAATTACATTCGCTACCTTAGACAATATCATGAGCTTGTGTAAAAATTTATGACTAATGTGTATAATAAAATCGTGGGAAGAGTAATAAAGTTAAAGTCTTTGAGTTGCTTAAGTGCCTTTTATAGTGATAAAAAATTCAAGATTAGATTCTAAAAATAACGAATGCGAAAGCTCTCTTCCATGTGAAAAACGTTTACCAGTAGATCTATATGATTTATTAAGAAAACAATTTTATTCTTTATGCACACACATCTAGCCAAAATTGTGAACCTAATTTATTATAATTGGATATCTTGAAAGCTCATGAACTTCAGCATTATTATCACGAAAGAAATCCAAGAACAACGAAAATGTGGAAGAAAGGAATGAAGAAATAAACAAAATAAACTCGAAGTTTATTTAACATCAATGACATTTCTGACTTATAAATCCCTTTGCCGTGAGCGTAAAAGAAACAAAACTGACTAAGTGAGTGAATGTATGCATCTACAGCTGTACATATAAAGTCGACAGCACATATAAGATGTTGTTTCTGTATATAAAAAATGAAAGATAGGAAGATATAAAATGCTGATAAAGGAGATACTTATGTACACATATTACGTACAGTATATATATATTGAAGAGTGCTGTCATCGTAAAAATAATACTGTGGATAAACATTTAAATCATTAGAATTCTTTATATACATTGTGCTTTTCGTCTTTCTCATAAAAGTCGCATCAAATGAAAATTCCTGCAATTCTTTATATGTCTGCATTTTTTTTTTGTTTTCAAAAGAGAGCACATAATTCTTTTGTCTGCTTTACAATGTCTTCTTGGTTGACATTTCTATTCTCTTATCTCACATTTCTTCTCTTTGTAAAATTCTTAAAAGTATTCTTTAAATTTCACGAAAATAGACCGTAAAAAGTAAGCGGAAAGCGATTTTCAGTAAATGAGTAAAGTTTGAGATAACATCCAGCAGATCAAGATTAAAACGTCTTATACCAAAAGCAGTTAACTTACAAAAGATTTTTCTGCAACTTGATCAGTAATACTCAGCAAGACAAAACGAAAGTATAGAATGTCTTTCAATGAAGCACAAGTGAGCGAAAATCTCTATGTCTGAACAGTAACGAAAAATGAAACAACAAAAGTAGCGGTAGTAGAATGAAAGTGAAAAGATTCAGGTTTATTTTTACGTTGAGTAAACAATGAAACGAATGGAAGAAAAATATATATCAAAACATTACTGCTGCTGCTGCTGCTTGCAAAGAAATTTTACGGCTTTTAACTAACACCCACAAAAATATTGTACGTTACAGCAACTTCTTTTTTTTATTATCTCTCGCATGAATGGTCATCAACCATCTCATGATGAGAAAAAGAAATTAAGAGAAACGAAGGAGGCCTTCTGCTAGGGTACTAGTCTATGTGCTTCTTAGTTCGACGATCTTTCCTTTTCCTTATCTACTTATTTTATGAATATCAATATATATTCTA